CACCATCTTGAGAGATAAGAGAATGAAGATTGGGAGGGAGGGCTGGAAAATGCTCAGGGCAGAAAGAACAGCTGGAGGCAAGGCTTGGAGGCCAGAACCGAGAGCAAGTGTTGTCCAGGGCCCCCGGGATGAGAGGTCAAGCCGATAAGTCCTTACTCCCTGGCAGCCTACGGACTGGTGGGAGTTGGAAGGCAGGATGTTGACAAAGCTGGAATGGGCGGGCCCAGCACGGGAAGTACTCCACCCCGAAAATATTCCCTCACCAGATGGGTTCACGAGTTCACTAGTTCCAGCCTCGAATGGGTTCAAGAGCTGTTCTTTATAAAAGCCAGAATCTCTTGTACAGGGATCATTTGCTTTTCGGATTATGTTAAGTCTTGCTGGATGCCAGTGATTTGGTTTGATTCTGAAAATTGGACATGATTGAAGTTCCATGTGATAAAGGACTTACAAAAGTACATATAAACTACGGAAGTGGACCTCGTGAAGGGCTAGGAACTCCACCCGTGGCAGACCGGGTGGGCTTTGCACAGACACTGACGTGTAAGCAGGCGGTGGAGGTGATGTGGCGATGTGGGCTCTTGGTTCTTGACTTCTTCCGGAAAAGATTTCATAACACAACTGCAGGTGATTTTGAGAGTACATTGATTAAAGCCGGGGACAGTGAATCAAAGAAAGGGCTTAGGATAGAAGAGGCAAGATCATAGCAACAGGACTGAGCCCAGGTATGGCTGCCTTCGCCCTTTACAAAGAAAGTCGCAGAGGTAGAAGTGAGCCATCTGGGCCGCACGGACTCAGGAAACAAGTTACAGAGTCAAAAGAAAGGCCATTGGAGAAAGAAGGCAAAGACACATGCATTAGGAGAAAAAGTGGGGAGCACGGGCCTGCCTGCTTTAGAGAGATTGTGGGCACACTGGGTCCCTTGCCGTAGGGGGTTTTATCTGTTTTTTAAAGGCAGGAATTTTAGGAGTGGTCTCAGGAAAGGATCTCAATGGCATAGTCATCAGCTTTTCCGGTGTGTCGTTTCAGAGTCGTGGTCTCTGCTGGTTGGCCGGAGCTGGGGTAGGGGGTCACTGGATATTGCTCCTGGTCCTGATGCTCGCCAAGGCCTCTTGCTTCATCTGGTTTTGCTACTTTCTTGGGCCTGAGGCTGAAACACAACTGAGGCCTAGAAGTTATCTCTGCTTTGATCAAAACTGTGCCTCTGCGGTCAACAGACCCCAGGCTGTGTTCCTAAGATCACTTGACCTGGGTCAGAACCTCATTGTCCTGAGGGCTTAATGCTTAAAGGAGTGGGGGGAGGGTGCAGGCGAGTCATGGTGGGAATAGGACCATTTCGAATCATAGGACCTTCTGCCTCAGTTGCCCCATTTCACTTGCCAAGGAATTTTCCTAGCTTTTTGCTGTCCTTCCCCAGAAGGACATCCATGTAATCATAACCACTATTTCCTAAGCGTCGGGCTCTATTCTGGTAGTTTACATTGTTACCTCACTCGATGTCCATAGAAAACCCCTGGATTCCACAGGCCCTGTTTACAGGTAAGGAAACTGAGGTACAGAAAGGGACTGTAACTTGTTTAGCATCCAGTTTCTAAGGGGTAGAGCTGTTTGTTCCCACAGCTCATGTCATTGATGTCCCCTCTGTCATATCCCAGCGCTGCATGTACCCAGGATGTTAGGGTGTGGGGTTGGTGAGGAAGGTCACACAGGCAGTGACCAACTCCTACCTTTTCGACACAAGCACCATAGTAGCCTTCAGGTCAATGCTTTTTACTATTTAAGTGCACACATAAATGATCACTAATGATCACATCTTTGAATGTGGTTGCGTTAAGAGAACATTATGTTCAAATCCAGATTTACACGAGCCACATTTCCTGCATGATTCATTGCCTCAACAGCTCCCCATAGGATCCCTTTAGCTATCAGCAGGGGCCAATCCCCTGTCATTAAGCTCTGAGATGCAAAAGTCCAAAAGGCAAGTCACCAGTGTCTGAAGGGGGAAGCTCCAGTTACAGGGGAGACTCTGAGGTTGCCTCTGTTGTCAGCCCTTCACCCACAGGACCCCCAGATTCACCACAAAGCTCTCTGCTCTCTGAGAACTTATGAAGCAAACAGCAAGGCCCCTGTCTTCCTTGAGCCGAATCAGAATGGCCGAACAGGAAGTTGGTGACTCTAACTTCACACCACAGATACACACACATACCACCCCAGAAGGCTGTCGCATCCCTCCCCCAGCTGCCTCTGCAGCTGTCCAGGGCTTTTTAAAGACAGCTCTCCAACAACCTTCCAGGGAGACTTGAGTGACTCCGGTAATCTCTCTGCACAGAAGACATCTTTGATTTTAGAGAATGAGGTTTCTTCCCCTGTTACAAAGAGCTACTGCATTTAAAATTTTATTTTTATTTAATCTTTTTTGTATTTTTTTACATTACCTTTTAGCCTCCTTACCTCCCCCTCCCCCCAACAATCCCCACACTTGTCCATGTCCGTGACTCCTTTTTCCTTCTGCCCCTAACTCCCCCCACTAGCTGTCATCCTGCTCTCCGTCAGAGTCTGTCCCCATTTTCCTTGTCAGTTTAATTTGTTCATTAGACTCTGCAAGTGAGCGAAATCATGGTACTTGTCTTTCTCTGACTGGCTTATTTCACTGAGCATGATGTTCTCCAGGTCCATCCATATTGCTTCAAAGGGTAAAATTTTCTTCTTTTTTACAGCGGAGTAGGATTTCACTGTGTAAATGTGCCATAGTTGTTTTAGAGCTACTGCATTTTTAAAAACTGTGGTCTCTGATGTCCACAGCTGTTGGGTTGGCGGGCAGAAAGTCCTGTCTCCTTCACTCCAGATCTGACCTACGGGAGGCAGATGGACGAGATCCTTTGGACAGACAGGGAAGAGCGCAGCTTCCAGGGCGGCCTGTGCAGTAACCTGCCCTGATACACCGGGGCCACTTCCTTTCCCAGCAGGGTCACGAGGGGACCTTCTCCCTCCACACACCACTTCCTTCATTCTGAAGGACAAAGAGAAACTGGGGAGATCGTGGTTATTTTGAGTAGCATTTTAAAAAATGGAGTCAACTTTGTTTCTGCTGGTAGACACCCTTCACCAGGGCTCAACTATAATGACAGACTTTCTTAGCCCCCAGTGTTTGGATATCAGTTTGAATCCACTTCTTGTTTTGAATAACATTGTGCACTCACCATTTGTCACCCACCGTGCCAGCTGTGGTATTAATGGGTACTGTCTTGTTTAATCTTCAAATGATATAAATTATTTTTTATTCCCACTTTACACATCAGAAAACTGACAATAAAAAGAGTTAACTGATGGGCCCAAGATCACACACCTTAGTGAGTGGTTGATCTGTGATTCAAAGCCAGGCAGGTCTGACTTAATCTCTATAATGAGGTGCCTGCTTTAGGCAGGCCAGCAGTCTGTATATGAAGGAAAATACCAGACATGCCATTGTGATTGATGGACTCCAAAGGACTTATGTGTTGGGAAGTTTGGCAGCCCAGTGAGCAGACAAAATAGCATGTCAGAGTCCCACATTTGGAAAATTTAATTCCTGAGGCTTTATGTCTTTATCTGGTCTGGGATCACCTGTCCTAAATATCTGAATTATTTCCATGAGCGACACTCTTTCCTCCCCAGCTCTGCAGGGAAAGCTTACTAAGCCTTTCCAGATCTGCCCAGTTTATATTAATCCTTCCCGGACCTATTCCTGCCTGATGCATTCTTTTCACTCCAATTATTTCTTGCCCAGTCTGTCTTATCCTCAAGACTGTAAGCTTCCACAAATGAGGCCTGAGCGTCAGCCACCTCCCCACACCTAACCCCATTTCTAATCTGTGCTTGACATTATGCTTCCTCTTTTATAATGCAAAGCTGGCCCAACCATCGCCCAGCTTCCCTCAGCAGTCTACTTGACTGAAGCCATGCCTGGAAGATTCTTTGGGTTTCTATAGCATGTATAGGCTAGCAGTTATACCTTAATTTGTTGTCTCCTTTCATAAAGATAACCTGTTTTTTTTTTTTTTCCTGCTGCAAGTGGTACTGAAAGCCCTTTGAGGACTATGGCTATTATCTTCTACTTTTTAATTGGATACATTCTCTTTCAGCCTTGAGCAAGTACTGCCAGCCACCATCCCCACTGATCTGAATGAGGATAATCCTATCCTGAGAGTCTTGCTTGATGCATCTGTCTGGGAAGGCTGGGCCTTCTGGGTTTTAAGACCTCCGTTCGCTCATTTGACAACATTGTTTGAATGCTTATTTCGTGTAAGATACTAGGGGATAAGCAGGTTAGTAAGAAGTGCTCGTCCCCCAATGTAAGACAACAGTATTTTGAAAAAAGATAGAAATAAAAATAACAGTGAGAGACCGGCTCTGGTCCTTCCTGTCTTAGATGCCAATTAGGAGCTTCAGCTAGTCAAAGCAAGGGCTGTTGATAGCACAGCGTGACAGACCGCAGCGAGAGAAGGGTCACATCAAGGTGCAGGAGGTAGAGTTCAAGGAGGCAGTCAGATCCCCTAAACGAGGTCAAGTTCAGGGAGAAAGGGACTTCCTGACTACTCGCACCACCGCTGCTCTCATCACACTGTTGCATGGTTCGGTAACTTTCTAATCGTACTGGGTCTTTCTTTCCAGCCAAGGGTTTCTTAAACTTGAGAGATTTAGGTAATGCTTTCAAAGCCTCTCTCATCCTTCACCTTTACGGGAAAAGCACTTAGGAAATCATCTCAGCTGTCAGTTTCCCTTAGTGCAGGAGACCCCGCCCCTCTCAAGACTGCAAGGCCAGGCGACACCTCCAGTGCCACACCCAGACCCGCGGCTTAACCGCGCCTGCCACTCAGGAGCCGCTTCTGCCCTCAGACTCTGGAGACTCGGCTCTCCATTGGCTAGGCTTGCACGAATGCCCGCCTCCCGGAAGTTGCAAGGCGGCCTCCCTTATAATCCCGCCTTGAGGGGCCGCGGGGCCTAGCGCGGAAGTGGGCTGCGGTCGGTTCTCAGGTTTTCAGCACACGTCCGGAGCGGGAGAGCCCTTCAATAGCCGGGCCTGGCCGGGAGGCTGGATCGCGAAGGTTGCGATTCCCTTTGTCCACGCACCGCAGCGAAGGGGCGGGCCGCGTCGGTTGCCGCCCCGGAAGCGGAAGTGAGGGCGCCGCGGGATCCTGTCCATTGCTAGCTCTGCCCGGCGTCAGTCGTTCCGCCTGCCGGTCACATTGCACCGGTTTTTACCACGGGTCTGTGTCTCTCGCCGGCCCCACCATGCTGTCTCTAGATTTTTTGGACGACGTGCGGCGGATGAACAAGCGGCAGGTGAGGTTGTCGGTCCGCTGTTTTTCAGGGCTTCCCTGTCCCTTCGACGCTGCCCTTGGGGGTCCTGCGGGACTTTGGACCCCTGTGTGAGGGCGTGAGCGAGTCTGACTCCTGAACCGTCTCTTTGTGGAATCAGAGGTTCGCTTCGTTTTTAGCCCCTAGTTACTTCTGGGCCTACCAGGGGAGGAGCGAGAAGTCGAGTCTTCACCTTCCACTCCTCCCAGTGAGGCACAGGATCTACTGGAAACCGGGGGGTGGGGAGCGTTTTGTAAGTGGGAGTTGGGGTTGCTTATTGTTTTAGACTTGGTAAGGCGGCCAACTCAGGTTTTTTCCAGTCGCAGCTGCTCCCGAGGGATTTCGGAGACTAGAGTTAGTTCATTGCTCTGGGAGGCCCCGCAGAAGCCGTCTTACTGCTTTCTGCCGGTCGCATCCATTCCAGGGCAGTTGGGCCCCACGTCCTGCACCGACTTTTCTTTGGACCACCGCTGACTGGAGTGGGAACAGTTGCTAGACGTGCCTTCGAGTCCATTTAGCACGAAGGTGGCAGCTCCTAGAGTCCTCGGGTATACTGCCCAATATTAGTGGCACAGGAATCTTGAAATTCAGATCTCTTGATTTTGTCCTTAAATTTCACTCCGTCTCGAACTTATAGATCGTATACCAAATGGTACTGGGAATGCTGTTGTGATTATTTAGTCAGTAGGAAAGATTGCTCCTTCTTATCTCCTGTGTGCCTCTCGGCAGAGCCTGCTTTTGCTTGCCTCGGGCCTTTTTACAGTATTTTGCTGTTAACAGTTGTCCTGATGTCACTATGAAAGATTTCTCTCTTGGACTTTTCTATTTTAAGGAAGTAGATATGCAGCCTCCCCTTAGCCTCCTTCAGACTTCAGTTAGCGTGGTGTCAACTTCTCTTAGGTTTCTTAGTTCCTTCAGTCATATCTGATTATGCTTTTTGAGTTGCACAAACGGTCATGTCTTCAAGATAACACTTCAGAATCTCCCTTGTTGTAGAGTGTCTTTTTCATCTATATCTGAATTTCTAGGTACCACAGACATTGCTCTGAAGAAATATGTTCGGCCTGCTATTTATTTTACCATATGCTAGATACAATGAGAGAAAATGCAAAGGTAAATAGAGATTGTGCCTTCAAGGGGCACAAACGAGTAGAAAATGGTTGAGTTAAAACCATAACTATTTTGAGCTCTGGATAAGTGTAAAGTGCCTTGTATAGCTATGAGGTAGGTAATCTTATTCCCATTATGCAGATTAAGAAACTGGACAACAGGACTGGTAGCGTGGGAGTGGGGTGAAGAAGCATAATGAATTGAGGTTTCACCTGCACGTAACTTCTGGGAGAAAGAATTGGCCATGACCATGGATACTGAGAGCTCATCCCATGAAAAAGGGAAACTAGAAGTGTGGTTTCACAGCACTTCTCGGAAATTGCTGCCTTGCATAACTTTTCCATTTACGCCTAGGTGCGTATCATCAAATGTCTCATTAGTATGTTGGAGTGGTAATTGGTTTTTTCTCTCATCAGGTTCATAGTGGAATAGTTTAGTACAGTAAACTCCATACATTTAAGTATATGATTTGATAAATTTCTACAGTCACATACAACCATCACAATCAAGGTAGAGCAGGGGTGTCCAACCTTTTGGCATCTCTGGGCCACAGTGGAGGAAGAGTTGTCTTGGGCCACACATTAAATACACAAACACTAACGGAAACTGATAAGCAAAAAAAAAAGGTCCGTGCATATTTTCGTGATATCTGTCACCACAGATGAGCAAAAAAGTTCTTACATAATAACCCTAATTATGCAGCGGCCCTTTTGATAATCTTTTAACATCATCGAGCAGGTCCCAAGTTTATGATCGCTAATATGCACAATGTACGTATCTAAGAAATACAACTTAGTATAAAACTTAGTAATAAAACCAAGTAATGTTTTAAGTAAATGTAGGATTTTGTGTTCGGCTGCATTCATAGCTATCCTGGGCCACATGTGGTTTGCAGGCTGGGAGTTGGACACCCTGATACAGAGCATTCCGATCCCCTACAAGATCCCCAAGGCCCCTTTGTCATCTGTCTCTCCCCTAGCATGAGGCAGCCACAGATGTGCTTTTTGTCACTTGGCATGGGTTTGCATGTTATATAAACGAATCAGAGTATGTATTCTTTTGAGCTTTCAGTTAGAGTTGATTTTCAATGCCTTACTCAGGACTTTATTATATGTAATGCGATCTTTTGGGATTTATTTCAACAGTTTTCAAAAATGAAGTGTTTCGCTACCTTCACTGCATCCCATGCAGTATTGCCAGATTAATCTCCTCTCTCCTCCCTCACACCTTCAGCAGCTCCCCATTGTCCCAGAACGGCCTCTGCTGTAAGTCCCGGGCTCTTTACAGCCTGCCGTGACTCACTGCTTCGGTCTTGTCCCGCATCGCGTTTCCCATTTCGTGTCCATGTCTCTGTGAACCTCGTTCTGTCCAAACCACACGTGTTTAACCATCTTTTGAACTTGCCTTGTAACCTTTCTGCATCTTTGTAGACTGTCCTTGAACACTATGTGGTCTCTGAAGTCCTCTGAGCTGTTATACACTGGTGTATTTGTCTTCTTCCCCTGAGAGGGTGGCTCCTTTCCTAGGGGGTCAGATAACCGATTTCCTGAGACCATTCTTAGTCCAGGAAGGCCTGATTTGTGGAGTCTGCCTATTTCTGTGGTGTCAGTACGCCCCAGAAGGCTCATTTGAACCTGCTATCATGACATTGAATGTGGAATGAGGAACAGAATAGTAGCATGTGACTGTAATTTCTACCTTACGGACAAAATAGAAAAAAAAATAACCTCAACATAGATGATAATAAAATGTAATAAAATAATTAGGAACTCATGAATTTAGAATATTTTTACCTTTGTTTTTAATGTAATTTAATTGTACTAATTTTCAGTAACACTGTTTAATAGTCAACTTACAAAATGCCTGAAAATTTACCAGGCTGGCTCATGCACACCACTGGTTCTTGATGCCCTTGAGATGGCCTTTGTGCTCAGAGAAGCCTATTAGAATCGTCATTTAAAAAACTGCTTGCCCCGGCTGGTGTGGCTCAGCTGGTGTGGCTCAGTGGATTGAGTGCTGGTCAGCAACCAAAAGGTCGCTGCTTAGATTCCCTGTCAGGGCACGTGCTTGGATTTCTGGCCAGGTACCCAGCTGGGGGCGTGCAAGAGACAACCAATCAATGTATCATTGATGTAGCATTTGCACATTGATGTTTCTCTCTGTTTTTCCCTCCCTTTTCCTCTCTCTAAAAATAATAAATAAATCTGTGTAATAAAAAATATTGAAAGCTAAAAATTTAAAACTAAGTTCTTAAAGTTTAGCATCACTTTACAAATCTATTTAAAGCTTAGCAAATTTTAACTGTCACTTTTAAGGACTTCTGAATATTCGGGTTACTTTACAAACTTAAATATCTTACGTACGTTACATTTAATGTTTAATTTTTTTTAATTTTCTTTTTAAATAGTCCACACACATCACTGCATACTTATGTAATTTTTATAAATTCTGAGCTCTTAAGTTGTCTCAAATGTTTCAACACTATATAGGCAGCAGACTTTCTGATTAAAATAATATATCTACAACAATTGATTATACACTGTAAATTGGAATTACAAACCTGACCTATACTTTAATAGGCCAGATCTTAAATTTTACAAATACTGGAGTACCAAATGTGCACAAAGACCTTTACGTTAAAATGTTAACACCACACATATTTTTTCTGTGCTCAGTTATTTGAGGGGAAGGTCACAAAGGCTCGCTCACTAAGGAGATATGTCTGTCGTGCCAAATAATTTTTATGTCACTTTCACCCGTAGTTGTAGGGCTGGCTCCTCTGCTTTCTGAGAATCCCGACGGCCAGTGGGTGTGGGCCAGGAGGTGCTTCAGTCCTCGTGTGGGCCCTGTGATGGGGTCCCCTGGTTTTACTCGTCCTGCCTGAATCAAGTGACCTCAGGGCTTGGCAGAGTCATTTATGCTTTTTACATCTTCCTATCTCTTAGGGTCACTTAACTCTTCATTGCCATCACTCTTGCAGTGATATCTGATTGAATTTGGGGCTCTTTGGTGACTTTTTAATTTTTTTTTTTTGATCAGTTGGCCCTCTAGCGAAGCAAACGGAAACCTGGGAGCTCTTCCTTCCTTAGACTCGGGCCCAGCACGAGTAAGTGTGCAGCAAACAGGAGGTGTGAGCAGCACGCGGACAGGTCCACCACCTCTATTGATTATTGAAAGCTCATCTGATCTTGTTAAAGAGCAGGAACATCTTCATCACTGATAGGGTGTCAGCATTCAGTAATGAGTTGTCCAGTTTTGATGTAGAAATACTAACATCACTCTCCATTACATCCACAAGAAGTTACAAGTAAAGTTATGTTGTAAATTATATTTACTATCCAAACATACATTCTTCTTCACCCAGGAATCATTCTTTACCCTGCGGAACTTTGAGCAAAATATAGAATGCAGCACCATTCATAGTAAGAATTAAGGCATTTACTTGCTGTGGTTCTTACATACTTTTAAAAAATTTTTTGTTTTAGAGAGAGAGGGAAGGAGAGATGGGGGAGAAAGAAAGGAACATTGATTTGTTGTTCGACTTCTCTGTGCTTTCATTGGTCGATCCCTCACGTGTCCTGACCGAGGATTGAACCCTCAACCTTGGTGCATCAGGGACACTGTTCTAACCAACTGAGCCCCCAGCCAGGGCTGAACCATTTTTTTCGTGTAGAATTCAGTAGTAGTAGATGCTGAATTGTCTTTGCAATCTTCAAGACTTCACCTTGCAAAACCAAAACTGTGTACCCGATAAAAACACCCCCTTCTCCCCTCTGCCCATCCCCTGGCAGCCACCTCTCTACTTCCTGTCTTTGAATTTGACTTTCATTGCTTTTTTTCCCTATGTTGTTCATCTATTTTCTATTTCATTGATCTCTGCTCTAGACTTTCTTCCTTGGTTCTTCGTGTTTAGTTGGCTATTTTTTCTAGTTTCTTAAAGTGGAATCTTAGGTTATAGTTTTAAGGTCTTTTCTATGTATTTAAAGCTCTAAATTTCCCTCTTAGCAATGCTTTAGGTACATTCCATAAATTTTGATGTGTTTTTGTTGCCACTCGGTTCAAAATATTTTGTAATTTCCCTTGTGATCCCTGTTTGACCCATGGATGACTTAGGAAAATGTTGTTTAATTTCCAGATATTTGTGGGCTTCCCAAATTTCTTTCTGGTGCTTATTTATTTCTAATTTAATTCCACTGTGGTTGGAGAACATAGTTTGTGTGATTATAATAATTTAAAAGTCAAGACCCTTTTTTGCTTGCCTAGAGCCTGGTCTCCGGAGAATGTTTTCCATGTGTTTGAACAGAATGTGTGTGGGGGGGCGGGGTTAGATAGGAAAGCGTAAGGGGGGTAAATGGTGATGGACGGAGTCTTAACTTGGGGTGGTGGACACAGTACAACATACAGATGATGTGTTATAGAATTGTACCCCTGAAACCTATATGTTTATGAACCAGTGTCACCCCAATAAATTCAATTCAGGCAGGCAGGCGTGCGCCCTGTGCCGCGGGGCGGGCAGTGCTCTGTAGCTGCTGTCCGTTTGCTGGTGGTTGCGTTTCCCTTGTCCTTGCTGCTTCTCTGTCTCCTGTAAGCTGTGAAGAAAGGGATATCAACGTTGCCAACTTTTTATCCTGCGATAAATCCTACTTGCTCATAATGTATTATATATATCATTGGGTCTGATTTGCTAAGATGTTGCTAATCATTTTTGTATCTGTACCCATGATAACTGTTGTTTAGCATCTTTGTCTGGTTTGGGTGTCAGTAATGCAGGCCTCATAGAATGAGTTGGGAAGTATTCTGTTTTCTAAAGTTTTCTGGAAGAGTTGGTGTAGAATTGTTCATGATGTTTTCATTAATTGCTTGGTAGAATTCCCCAGAGAATGCCGTCTGAACCTGGAGTTTTTCTTTGTGGGAAGGTTTTTAAACGATAGAGTGATTCAGCTTCTTTGTAGACGCAGGTCTGTTCAGGTTATCTGTTTTTTCTTCAGTGAGCTTTGGTGGCTTGTGTCTTTTAAGGAATTGGTGATATGTTGGTATACTATTCATAATACTTATTATTCTTTTCGTATTTGTATATCAATGTGAGTTAGCTTAAAGTTATTCTGGTGATGTCACCTCTCTCAGTGCTTCCTGATCAGTCTGGCTAATTGATCTCAAAGAACCAGTTTTTTGGTTTGATTGATTTTATTGTTTTTTGTCTTCTGTTTCATTATTTCTCTTCTTATTTTTAATTTTATTTTCTTTTAAAAATATTTATTATTTTTAGAGAGAGGGGATGGGAAGGAGAAAGAGAGGGAGAGAAACATCAGTGTGTGGTTGCGTCTCATGGGTCCCCTGATGGGACCTGGCCTGCAACCCAGGCATGTGCCCTGACTGGGAATCGAACCAGCAAACCTTTGCTTCACAGGCCCCTGCTCAGTCCACTGAGCTACACCAGGCAGGACTATTTCTCTTCTTATTTTTAATATTTCTGTGAGTTACTTTGAGTTTCATTTGCTTTTCCTAGTTTTTTTGTTTTGTTTTTTGATAGAGAGAGGAACATTGACTTGCTGTTCCCCTTATTTGTGCAGTCACTGATTGCCTCATGCATGTGCCCTGACCAGGGATCAAACCTGCAACCCTGGCATATCCATCCAGAACTACACTCTAACCAACTGAGCTACCTGGCCAGGGCCGCTTTTCCTAGTGTTTCAAGGTGGAAGCTCACTTTGGGAAATCTACAAATATTTGGACATTAAATAGTGCATTTCTAAATAACCCGTAAGTCAAAGGTGAATCACAAGGGAAATTACAAAAGAATTGGAACTGAGTATAAATAGAAACATGGCATATAATGTGAGTCCTTTTGCTGCTATAAAATTTCCTCTACTTACTGCTTTAAGGGCTTCCCACAAACTTTAAATTAAAAAATACCTCTTTTATTTATTTATTTATAAATTTTTTTGGATTTGTATTTATTTAATTTTAGAGAGGGGGAAGGGAAGGAGAAAGAGTGGGGCAGAAACATCAATGTGCGGTTGCCTCTCCCACGCCCCCTACTGGGGATCTGGCCTGCAACCCAGGGCCTGCAGCCCTGACTGGGAATCGAACTGGTAACCCGTTGGTTTGCAGGCCTGTGCTCAATCCACTGAGCTGCACCTGCCAGGCTAAATAAAAAATATATATATTTTATATTTACTGATATATTACTATTCCTAATGCTGCTTATCTTATGTATAAATCCAGGTTTCACTTGATCTTTTCCTTTTGCCTGGAGGACTTTTAAAAAAAATTTTTTTTTTTTTTTGTAATGTAGGTCTGCTTGTGATGAGTAATTTTAGTTTTTGTGTCTTTGAAAAGGTTTTATTTTTGCCTTCAGTTTTGAAAGAAATTTCTCAGGGTGTGGAATTTCAGGTTGATAGTTTTTTTCTTAGTACTTTGAAGAAGTCTACTGTTATTTCCAGAACTCAAGCTATTCCTGTTCCATATGAGCATTGAGAATTAGTCCATCTGCTCCTTTCAGACGGTTCTTTTCCACCCGTGGTGGTCCCCTCACGTGCCTGTGTGGGTGGTCGCTGATTGGATGTCAGCTGAGGACTTGAGCGGGGGTCCTCTGCAGACCTCCGTGCAGCTCTGGGCCCCGGACGGCCCCGGGGTCTCCAGCCGCCCTTGCTCCCCAAACTCCCAGTTCTTGATCCTCAGGTCACGGAGACTTGCAGGCTCTGTCTGGATTGCCCCTTTGTCCTCGTTCTAGAAACGCTCCAGTCTGTGAGTCGGAGCATCAGCGGCCCCACCTCTTTGCTTCTCTTTTCGGAGCCAGCACAGGCCTGCGTGGTGGGCATGCAGTCCCGTGCTCGGTGTCTGCAGACTTCATTTCGTGTGTTTTGTCCAGCGTCTCCGTTCTTTCAGGCACAGAGTAAACTTGGTCCCTGTTGCTCCCACTTGGCCTAAACAGGACATTTTTGAGATTCATCCCTGTTGTGTGTGTTGTAGTTCATCCTTCTCCTGAGTAGTGATCTATGACATGGAAATAAGGCAGTTCATTTATTTCATCTGTTGAGGGACTCCGCTTTGCAATCTGAGGCTCTTGTGAATGAAGCGGCTATACCTGTACCTGTGTTGTATAGATATGTTTTCATTTGTCAGATTTTAAAACAGTTTAACAGGTTTTTAAAAATGAAATTTGTCTTACTCTTATTGCTAACGTTATGCCTGTTGGACTCTTCAGGGATGCTCTCATTACCCCTTAAGATTCTCACTGGGGCCAGCAGCCACTTTATTGGGCCACAATAACAGTGTCCGTTCCGAACGTGCTTCAGTGTGTCCAGGGCCAGCAGGTCACGGCCAGCCGCTGTCGGTGTGTCTGTGAGTGGGAACACAGGGGTCATGGCTGTGTTCGTGTGTCTGTGAGTTTCGGTCCTGGGATAAGACTGAGACCAGCTGCTATTTTGTTGCTTCCATGGTCGCTTCTGTCTTTGCCTAAAATCACTGGAGTCTGGCTTCTGTGAAAATATCCTGTATGTTGAACTTCAGGTATCTCTTACAAGAACAGAAATAGAACTGTTGCATTTGATAACTGTGATAGATAAATGAGCAGTATGTAACCTTCAGGTGTGGCCTGTTAAAAGACAGTGTTTAAAATTATGTTGCTTTTATTTTGCTGAATTTTCTCTCTTCGGTTATATCTCCTTGGTCCTTTTTCATCTAGAACAGTCTCCCATGTTTATGTTCATGACACAGAATCTTTGAAGACTAGAACAGTTGTCTTATAGATTGTCCACCTGCATGTATATTTTTAAAATAACAAAAGTGAACTTACGTTGTACCTATTTTCAAACTTTTTGTTTTTTCACTTTAAAGCATTTTATGAATGTCTTTTCAGGTTCACATTTAAAATGGTACATTCGAGGTTGTCCAGAATGAGTCAGTGTGCTTTTTCTCGTCTCTCCTGGTGCCCTCCGACCCTGCCGCTTGCTCCCTGAGCCCCGCGCCGCGGCGTCCAGCCTCTCCGCATCCACCCATGATCCCGCCTCAGTCCAGCACAGTCAGCTCACATCATTTCCCTCTCTGGAAATGCCTTTCTAGTATTGCTTACTCAGGTCATAGAATTTTATCATTTGTCATGCAGTGGAAGTTTATTAAGGCAGAAAGAAGGCTGGCCTTCAAGTCCCAGCTGTGTGACTGATGGGCTCTTGACTCAGGTGAAGTCCCTTCCTCTCTGCACTGCTTCCTCAGCTGCAAGCGGGGAAGGGACTGAGTCACCCGGGGACTCGGTCCCCGGGGTGGGACTGAGTGCCATCCAACAGCCCGAGGTTATCAAGGGAGGAATGCGCAGAACAGGAAGTGGTAGCGGAGTTTGGAAGCAGGTTTTTCCCTGTTGGCTGGTGTGTCGTGAATGTGCTTGAATCGCAGCTGAGAGGCCGTGAAGTCCAAATGAAATACCTTATGTGAAAGGTTCCGAAAACAGTAAGTGGTGTAAGTGTAACGTACTTTAGCAAACCAAATGGCGCACGGTACAAGGGGTGAGAGAGGGGGATGTCCCAGGAGGCCGAGGGTGTGATTAGTACAGACGTCGAAAGACTGTCTCAGGAGGACTCCAGCGGCCCCAGTGCTGCTGCTTGAAACTTCGACACTGACGCTGCTGTCACTTGCTGTCCTGGGCAGGGACAGTCATACAGCTGACCTCTCCTCCTTTGCTCTCACAGCTCTATTATCAGGTCCTAAATTTTGGGATGATCGTCTCCTCGGCGCTAATGATCTGGAAGGGGTTAATGGTCATAACCGGAAGTGAAAGTCCCATTGTAGTGGTGCTCAGGTAAGACCCGCTCTTTCCCGGGCATGGAATTGCATGGCGCTGCTGGGGAGGAAAGCTGAGCTACTGAATAATTGTTGTGTCGTCCCTGTGCAAGCTCCGCCTTCCCAGAGGAGGGCCCGGAAGAGCACGTGGTGCTGTTTCTCAGTGTGAGGAATTCTCCACTGCCAGGCCCTTTACATTCAGGGCTCACGACCACCCTTCGAGACATTTACTCTTTGAGCTTTATTTTCAGCACGCCTCTCAAGATGCACTTTGTTTTCTGAAATATCTTCTCACACTCTTCACTCTGATACATCAGGGCGGATATTTAGTGGTTAGTGAGCCAGAGGACAGACCGACTCCCAGGAGTTTTGGGTGGCCTGTTCCCAGTGTGAGTGCAGAAGCTTCACTCGTTATTTCCGTGTGTCCTGCTGACCTTTAAACCTCACTTCTAAATAGACTTCAGGAGGGTTGAATATATTAATGCCATCTCTGAAAGTTACAAATACTCGTAGTGCTGAATTTTTTTCTCTACTGTACTTCCTTCCTCCTCATATTCCTACTCCTAGTGCTTTAAACACCTAACTTACTCATTTTTGGAGAATTACCATGTGGTTACATAATTGAATCATTATAGTTCTGCCTTAATTTGGGCTTAATTATAAGCTCTTCCAAGTCTTTTCTGGAGCTGATGGAGTGTAAACATAAAATGAACCAAATCATTAACATTATCTTGAGTCTGGTTCATAGTACATTACTCTTAACAAGACGAATTTGACTTCCTCATTGTCATATGAGATACACTTGCAAGAACAAGTGGTCGGAAGCACTGAGTCTCCAGTGTCTTACTTGTACCTGAGCCCTGTTTTTATGAATAATCAGACGCAATGGGAATTTTAGCAATCCAAAGAAATACATGGGTTTTATTAGCAGGGAAAGCATTTAATGTACTGCTGGGAGTATAGAGACTTGGGTCTGTCTCTCTCACGTCTAACTACAGCCTTGGGCAAGTCACGTATGCACTGAACCACAGCTTCATCTATGAAGTGAAGGCCGAGAGAAAGAGGGCCAGCACTAGGTGGTGCCAGAAGACCTTTCCAGTTCTCCGGCCATGTGGTCCTGAGCTCCCGGCAGTCCTGCGCTCAGTGGAGGGCGCCAGACGTGGGCGCGAACACCGAGGGAAGGGGAAGCGTGGAGGGAGGGTACAGGCGGGCTTCTCGTGGCCGTTCCTCTGGGTTACTTCAGGTGGTACTGCTGTCAGCGCAGAGGACAGTCTAATGACCTGTAGACTCGGTGTTGAGGTGGGTGGGGTTAGACTGAGGACTTGCTCGTTGGTTCTTCTGAAGAGTCCGTTTTGCTATAGCTGGAATATTTGTATTACCAGCTGGGCCTGAGTTATTTGGTAGGTAGATTGTTTCTGCCTGATTGCCGCTGCGGAGTGAAGGAGAGAGATGAGCAGAGAGACCAGGTCGTGCTGGAGGAGGAAGGCAGGTCCTTGGGGGGCTCGGGTGCTGCGAAGCCCCTCTCAGGGCCGTTTGGCATGAGGACACATACTTTCTTCTTATTTATTTGACTAACTGAAGTTTCAGTGGACATTCAAAACCTTCCCCTTCACAGAGCTGAAGTCAATTTAAAAATATTTAAGTGACTTATATATAATACCTTATAAAACTTGTCACGAGTGATGTTTAAATTTAAAAGTATTGTTTGATCAGATCATATTAAGGAGGTTACTAATAATTTTATTTAATGTCCAAAAGTCTCCCCTGGTTTATTTCTTTAATGGTCCTCTCACTTTATCTGTGTTTAATCACATCCATGTCTGAAATATTTTTTCTTTATTTATTTTTAGAGGGGGGAAGGGAAGGAGAAAGAAGAGAGAAACATTAATGTGTGGTTGCCTCTCACATGGTCCCCACTGGGGACCTGGCTGCAACCCAGGCCTGTGTCCTGACTGGGAATCGAACCGGTGACCCTTTGGTTCACAGCTTGAGCTCAATCCACTGAGCTATGCCACCCAGGGTTTCATATCTGAAATTTTAAATCCTTTTATTTCTCATCTGCCTTTCTTCCCTGGGTCTAGACTCGTTTTCACCCTGGATTTCTGTGTGTGTGTGTCAGCCAGGCACTTGAAAGTCATGCAGTAAAAATGAAATTCATCTTTTGTCACAAACCTGCTCTTCCTTCTCCTTCTGTGACTGTCACTGCCGTCTGCCGGAGTCACCGCGGCGGCGCAGTCAGATTTGTCCTGTCCCGTCTCAGCTCTGCCCGTCAGAGCTGCCCCCTGCCGCCGCGCTATTTCAGGCCCTCCTCATTTCCTGCCTGGGCTGTTGGCGTGACCTTTAAAATCATGCTTTTTAAACCAGGGGAAAAGTTAATATATTTTCACTATATGAAATACTGAAAACAACTGTGGATGAAACCAGGTCCCCTGTAGTTCTGGGGTAATCATCATTAACATCTTGGTCTCTTTTTCATGTGTATTAGTTCTTACATAATTGAGGTAACTCTGTATATACCTCCTTTTGTCTGTATTTGCCCCCTCGTTCTCCTGTGCCCATTTTTAAATAACACTTAGTATTTGTCAAGTGTTATAAGTAACAGCCTGGACGCTGATCTCCCAGTCTGCCTTTCCATCTGTTCTACTTTACTTATTAATTCAGCAAATATTTGAATGTCGTCTATACCCTCTGTAGCTTCTGAAGTGATGTTTCTTAACTGCAAGTGTTATTATGATACTTCCCGTTTAAAATTCTACGGTGCCTTGGAAACAGTTGAGCACAGTGCGAGTGGAGTCTGTCCGACTCCCTGGGTTCGTTCAGCTTCACCTTGAACGTTGCCGTGGCGTTGCCGTGGTGTATGGCGTTGGGCCTTCCCATCTCTCAGTCTCCTTCCGTAGGGGAACCAGAGTCTTCCGGCAGAAGGGTTTGTTTGGGCTTTGTCGTTTCTCCTGTCTTGCTTTTTATTCCCTGTCTATCCATTTTCTATTTACTAAATCTGTTGTTACTGGAAAACTGGAGCTTGAGTTCCCGAAAATAATATTGATGGGCTCCTTCTTCATTGAAAGAAAAGGTTTGTTAATTAGTGCAAACGTCTGAGGACCTTGGAAGCACTTGCGCTGGGCAGGGCAGGTTAGAGGGGAGCAGTCTGTCCTCACCACTTACCGTGGAGTTGAATCCTTTGCTCATTTCTGAATCTCTTAGGCAAAGATCTCTGCCCTTGTCCCTGGTTTTCTTTCTTGTTTCTCTTTTTTAAATGAGTAAATAAAGTGATGAGGCGCAAGCATCGTCTCGGTCGCTGCCTGTTCTTCGACTTGAAGAGCTGTTCTCCCTTCCTCGTGGTACGGAATCATAAGGTCATCATCTTTATAAATGGCAGGAGCGGGTGATCTGCTTCTCATTTGAATATCTGAATATGTTTAGCATGTTCCGATGAAGTGAGAATAAGGGCAGTGATTATAAAGTTCATTCTTTAATATTCTGTTTGTCACTTGAAATTTTAAAAGGTTAAGGAATCAGTAACATTGCCCTTTTCAAAAACTTCAGCTCCTTTGAATAGTAATGCTTGAAATGGAACTAGTTACTGAATGCTAATAACTGAAGAAAACTTGTGTGACTCAGTCTGAAGAAACCGTATTTTCAGAACAGCATACATTTATGTTGTCAGTATACTTATTAAGGTATTGAGTATATTTCAAAGGTGATAGTTTTGATTGTCTTGTTGACTGTCCAATTTTGAAAGTAAATTCAATCTCAGACTGTCTCTTTGCTCTCGTGTTCTCCTCTCGCCCCCGCAGTGGCAGCATGGAGCCCGCGTTTCACAGAGGAGACCTCCTCTTCCTCACAAACCGAGTCGAGGACCCCATACGAGTGGGAGAGATTGTCGTTTTTAGAATAGAAGGAAGAGAGATTCCTATAGTTCACCGAGTCTTGAAGATTCATGAAAAGTATGTGCAAACTCTACGTTTCCTGTTTTAAACTATGTGTATGTTTTGGTGTTTACAAGTCTTTGATTTTGATAGCCTAAAGATTAAGAAAGGGTGGGAAACTCCTAGGTCCTCCTTCCAGTTAATTTTTATGAATGTCTGAAGGCTTGGCGAGCATTTGAATACTAAATTATTTATTAATTCATTTATTTCCCTGAAGGTTTTTCTGGACTTTTCTCTTGGTCCTTTTCTGCTTCCCAACCAGACCATTAACTCTGTGTATTCCAAAGCAGTAAACAGCTAATGGGCCTGTTTGTCTGTGTAAGAACATTCCCTTTGAGTGATAGGGAGCCTGGCGGTCACTCGGAGCAGCTTCAAATGGCGTTGGTTGCGTCAAGCACCAGAACCATTTGGCCTAACAGCCCACATATCGTGATCCGCTCCTGTAATCTCACATGCCCCTCCCTCCAGAATGGTCCCTGCACCTCTGAGGGGGTGGAGGAACAGTTGTCATGTTTTGTGACATCAGTTGTCCGTATTGTAGACAAAGGCCATAGGAACAGCCTGCTGTTACTATGTGTGTCTGTAAGTAATACATATAATTCCCCCCCCAAATGATGTAAAGGTTGGTCCCAAATAGGGTCTTCTTTTTTTTTTTAAGGTTTTATTTTTACGTATTTTAGAGGGGAAGGGAGGGAGAAAGAGAAGGAGAAAAACTTTGATGTGCAAGAGAAACATTGATTGGTTGCCCCTTGGCAGCCCCCAGCCTGGGGCATGGCCCACAACCCCGGCGCGTGTCCCGACCAGGAATCTCACCGACCAACTTTGGCTTTGCGGGGAGACGCCACATCCACTGAGCCACACCGGTCAGGGCCCGGACATTATGGAATCTTAAGATATAATGGATGAGGAAGCCCTAATATTAAAACCAAAAACAACTTTTTTAGGCAGTCTAACAGACATTTCAAATAAAAATAAATTTACCAACTCTTTCAAATCCCCAAGAAAACTTCTAAAATCTGAGTTATTCTTTTTTTTTTTTTTTTAATATTTTCTTTATTTATTTTTCGACAGAGGGGAAGGGAAGGAGAAAGAGAGAGAGACAATGTGTGGTGCTTCTGCGGGGGGTAAGCATAGACTTGTGTTTTAGAATTAGAAAGGATGTATGAAATACCTTCAGAGTCCTTGCCGGGGGCGGGGGGGGAGGGCATGAGAATAAGCCAAAAACTTCACCTGTCTGGGCCCCAGTTTCCCTATTTCTGATATAAAGAGGTTTAGGAGCAGGAGTTGTGACATCTCTGAGGCCTAAACCTGTGCTTCCCTGTCCAGCCACAGGTCCCCAGCCCCTCCCTCCAAACCTGTGGCATTTCCGGTTAAGGGGCCCTTTGAGAAAGGAAGGACAAGAGGAAGCCGTGGCTAAAGCAGGTGTCCCGGAGGACACCCAGAGGGGAAGCAAAATGAGGGGGGTGCCGAGGTTCCTGAGTGCGAGGAAGCCCCGAGGAAATGCTGTCTGGCTCCCCCCGCGCTCCCAGGCAGCATGTCCTCCCCGCCTCTGGAAGGGGCCGCTGTCTGGGGTTGCTTTTGAAAACCCCTGTAGACCTCCCAGTTTAGGAGAGTTTTCTTCCCTGGTGGAAGGGAGATAGACCGCTCTTTTTCTTCTGACTCCAGTGCGTATTTTGAAAGAGATAATTTGAAAATGGCATTCTGTTGTTGCCTAGGAAGGAATGACTTAAATTTTTTGGAATTGTGGAGGGTTTTTTAGTACGGGTACCATTTTTCCAGATTCTTCAGGTGGTTTTGTGTTGTCTGTGCGCAGCCCGGCCTGTGTGCACACAGCAGAGCCAGCCCCTGCGTTCACCAGAGAGCAGATCAAACCCTGACCCCGCTCAGGGAGGGCAGAAACTGCCCATCTGCATCTGTGACCGTTGTAGTCCAGGGAGGGTTTGGGTTTTTAATTTTGAAACACTTCATCTTGTTTCAGGGCAGGGTCATGTTCTATCAACTGCAGATCCTTAAATTTTAAAGGCAGTTTTTAAACAGAATTTTGAATATTTTAAGATGTATGATACTTTGCAGTCTGGGGTTTTTGCTGGTTTATTTTCAACTCCTGAGATGCCTTCAACCTGCAAGACTATTATTAATATTCCAAAGTTTCCAATTTCCTTTTTTCTTTCAGGGAAACTAAGATACCTGGTTATAATAATCATCTGATTTAATAGTATTGACATTGTTTTTAACTGTGGGACCAAATAACAACGAAAATGAATTAAGTATTTTGGTCAGTCTGTCTTGAATGCTTTCGGGCTCTTTTTCGCATTGTTCATTTCTCTCAGAAGAAATAAAATCTCGAGCTTTGCGGAGAGTAGGGGTAGGAATTGTTCAGCTGGCCTCTCTCTCCTGTTTTTCCTTCCTTTTCTCCTCCACCCACTCCGTATACAGGGTGCCATGGTAAACCTGTAAATATCATGTAGCGCTGTTTGACTCATGTATCTCCGTCTTATGAACATCCTCATTACATGTGTATTGTTACATGTGATGCTGCATCAAATTGGAAAATACAGAAAACAAAATCACATGTAATCCTAGCACCCAGAGAGAATGTTAAATTTGGGACGATTCTTTTGTTTTATAAACACACTGCATGGTTTATATTCTACCACCTAGAACGTGCTTACTCCCTCCCCCCCTGCTGTCACAGTGTTATGATGTTAAATTGAACTGTATGCGTACTGAGCTCCGTAGAGGCGGAGGTGGGTCATAGTAGGTGTTTGGTCTCTGTGCCAGCCGGGGCAGGGGCCGTCAGTCAGTATCTGGGGCCTAGGAGTTGTGAGGTGCGGAACAGATCTGGTGGGAGCTGGTTGCCCCCGGGGAATGTTGGTTACACCACTGAGTAGATGGAGGAGACCTTTGCTTTTTCCTACAGTGGTCTCTGCTGACTGTATCGGGGTGGCGGAGGCTTGGGTATGTTTGGTTGGTGGGTTGGTTGATTGATTGGCAAATTGAGTCTTAGGGGACAGTCCAGATCTCCTGCAGCGTCCCTTTCCTTTCCTGGGGCATTTCCCGACCTCCCCTCCTGTCCTGGGTCGCCTGACAGGCTCGCAGCCGCAGGCCCCGCCCCATCCTCCTCCCCCACCATCATTTTCAGACATTTGTTTTCACTTAGTGACTTGTCAGCTGCACATTGTTTTTCTCTGCATTTTTTTCTTATTGGAATCTTATTTTTAATGTGACTGTTTGCACCTAGCTCTTGTTGGTGTTTGCAACACCTCTCAGTTTAGTTTCATCTGTGAATTTAGTGTCTAGTGAGCCAGGTCCTGGCTTAGCTTCTCAGTGGATATTAGTCAGTAGGAGCCTGAAGCTAATTTTCTTTTTTCTAGTATAATGGGTAACCCAAACTCCCTTGAATTAATTTTAAGATAGTTTTTGAAAACATTTTTAAAAGATTTTATTTATTTATCTTTAGAGAGAAAGGAAGAGAGGGAGAGAAACATCTATGTGCACGAGATATATCCATGGATTGCCTCTCTCACACACCCTCTATGGGGGGCCTGGCCCACAACCCAGGCATGTGCCCTGACTGGGAATCGAATCGCGATCCTTTGGTTCTCAGACCAGCACTCAATCCACTGAGCCACACCAGCCAGGGCAATTTTAAGACAGTTTTTATCAATTGTGAAATACATTTTGCTGTCAATTAAATTTTAAAATTACTAGAAACCTCATGTTTCTTTAGAAGAATTAACCTAGTACATTTCTGATTAAAGTAAGATACTATTATTTCCCTAATTTTTAAATATGGAGAATTTCTAACATGCAAAAAGTCGACAAGACAACACCACAAACTCCCGTGCACCTCTCACCCAGGCCCAGCAATTACTGATCCCGGGCCGATCTGTCTCCCCCACAGGACCACCTTCTCCCTCCTCTGCCTGTCATGTTTTGAATCAAATCGTAGGTATCATGTCATGTCATATGTAGATATTTCAGTAAATATCTGTGAAACATAATCACTGAGCTTTTTCTTAACAGTGTGTTCGAATCCAGAGTCAGCTAAGGTCCTCGGGTGCGGTTGGTTGACATGGCTCTATAGTCTCTTTTATTTAAAACGTGATTACTTTTCCAACTCTTTTTGTCCTTTGCAACTGACTGGTTGGAGAGGCTGGGTCATTCTGCAGTTTCACACGACCTTCGTGTCGGCCGTTACAGCCTGTGGGGCAGTTTGCTGTGTTCCTTTGCTCTTTGTATTTCAGAAAACTTGGCGACTTGTGTTTATTTTAATATAAATATACAACTGCATGCTATTTTGTAATCTTTTCTTCTCCTAATCATGTCTTCTATGACATGTCCTTGATACTTGCTCAGCATCTCCGCTCCCTCCTGAATGTGAGACTTCTGGCTCTTTCCCAGTTTTTCCTTGTTATAAAACCATATACCTGTAAACATCCTTTTAGTTAAACAAATAATTATTTTAATGTTGGGAACAGTGATATAAAATGCCACAGTTCCACAGGAATTTTTAGTTAACAAAAGCAAATTTGATGCTTTCAAATGACCTCAAGGTATTTGATGACTTGGATTTCTCTTACTCTTTTAAGGCAAAATGGACATATCAAGTTTTTGACCAAAGGAGACAATAACGCCGTGGATGACCGGGGCCTCTATAAGCATGGGCAGCACTGGCTGGAGAAAAAGGACGTCGTGGGCAGAGCCCGGGGGTAAGTGCGGAGGCGGGCATTGGCCGGGGGTTTCGTGCCCCTTGAAGTGTGGCCGATGTGGTCCCAGCGTGTGACCACGCACAGGTGAGCGTGATGGTTGGGTCCCGGCTCTACCCAGTCACTGGTGTCCTTTGAAAAGTGTGCATCTTAAACTGCATCTAAGACTTCAGGTGCCTCGCGCCAGAGGGGAGGGAAGGAGGTGCGGTGAACACTGTCAGTGGCGAGACGATGGACTGGAGTGACAGTGCTGGGGACTCATTTGTTTATTCTGTCCGGTCGAGAACTGTCCGTGGGCACCGTCCCCGCACCCTGGCGTCCGCGTCCGCCCGCCCCCCTCGGGGCCAGAGCAGTGTCAGCCCTGCCTGCCTCACGGGACCTCGAGTCTTCAGTGCTGACCGAGCCAGCCACGGGAGACATTCATCTCAGTTAATTTGGTCATATGAATTTATTTCATACTGCTTTATTTCTAGTCTTGAATTATTGAGGTCAAATGAAATTTAAAAGTTATATGAAGCCTGTTTGTTTCAGATTTTATCAGGAGAACAGATCAGTGGAGGCCAGGAATGGCCAGGAATGACCGGTATGAGGAAGTCCGCGGTTGCACCTGCCTTCGCGTTATTAACGTGTTAACAGTAACTCCCATCCATCACCACTTACTCCCTGCCAGCAACTCATTTAAGTGCTTGAGGAGCATCGCTTCTTGCTAACTTCAGGACAACCCTAATATTTCCATTCTATAGATGAGGAAACATGGGCGATTCGGTTGTTTCTCTAAGGTCGCACTGACGGGAAGGGGCTGGCTGACCCCTCGGGCCACTTTCTTAGCCGCCACCCCCAAATCACAAGCACAGCAGTTGCTAAATGGGGGGCTGCTGGTCCTCCCCCCCAGATGTACCACTGGCCTGGAACGGACAGTGTGGGTTCAGGCGGTTCTCACGACACACAAACTAACCACTAAAATTCTGTGGCACACCAAAAGGTAGATTTTTTTGCCAATCTGAAGAAAGAAAATGGTGTAATTTTGATTCATTCACAGCAGGCACATCAGCCTGTGAAAGGCGAGACGTTTGCACTGGAATAACTTGTCCTCTGACAAGTTTTTGAAAAATTGTAAACTGCATACAGTGTCGTTTCTAAAATTCCACATCAAAGATTTAGACCTTCCTGTGGCTTTTGGTAAAGAGCGTGGTGGCCGGGTGCTCTCTGACACGAGCGACCTCCCTTGGGGTGGGACCTCGGCGCGAGCAGCAAGGCCACAGCATGTTCATGGCACAAATCCACTTGCCATTGATTGTACCACCACTTAACCCTGACACGTAACGGGGTACCTTGCCTCCTTTTGCGGAAATTGTGTTTATAAAACCCTAAACTGGTATTTCAGAGTCAGGCTGTGCCCAGACCTTGAGAGTAGAGCTTTCTCGCAGATCATTCTGTACTGGTGCAAATGTCAATGTGCATTTAAAAATTTTCTTTGAAAAGCTGCCTGTACACTAAAAATTTTACACTGAGGCCAAAGGCCCTCAGGAAAACAAGTTTAAAAAGCCCTGGCTGGTGCGGCTCAGTGAATTGAGCGTGCCCACCTGCAAACCAAAGTGTCCCCCCCTCCGTTTGATTCCCAGTCAGGGCACGTGCCTGGGTTGCAGGCCAGGTCCAAGGTAGGGGGCGTGTGAGAGGCATCCGCACATTGATGCTTCTTTCCCTTTCTCCTTGCCTTCCCCTCTGTCTAAAAATAAATAAATAAAATTTAAGAAAAAACTTGGTTGAGATATATAATTCACATGTATTGGAATATAAAATTCACCATTTTAAAGTGTACAGTTTGTTGGGTTTTAGTCACAAGACGTGCGCTGCAGCCGTCCTCACTGTCTAATTCTAGAACATTCCCACACCCCAGAAGGAAAGCTCAGTGCTCATTTGCAGTCACTCCCCATCTCCTGTTCCCTGCAGCCCCTGGCAACCACCCAGTCTGCTTTCTGTCTCTAGATTCTTGCCTGCTCTGGACAGTGTATATAAACAGAATCTTACACCGTGTGGTCCTTTATGGCTGGCTTCTTTCATGTAGCACAGTATTTTCAAGGTTCATTCATGTTGTGACATGTAAGGGAAACAATTGTAGACAGTGAGATGAACGCCGAACCAACTACGTCACGGGTGATTCTGACTTGGGGAGTTGGACACTAGAGGACCCGCTGGTCCAAGGCAAGTCGACGGCAGCAGGAGGAGAAAAGAATGAGCTGGAGGGGTAGGGAGGCACCTTGACGTGGAGGAGAGGAATAAAAGCAGATGGAAGGAGTGATGTAATGGAGCTCTCTGTTGGCTTTATGGAGGCTTTTGAAATGTACTCTTTACTGAACTTGAGACAGGTTATTTTGGGATAGCAACAATGATTCTCTCTAAGTCAGGTATTGGGGTGCAGACTTCCCAGACATAGGTCCCTTTTAACGCCCGACAAAGGAGTTCTCACCTCAGCCGTCTTAGGTTTTGCTCACATTACTCCCGCAGATCAAGGTGCTCCCCTGCATCCAGGGTGGCAAGGGGAGACCAGCCTTCGGGGGAAACGTGTCCACGGATGCCTCAAACAGACTGCGTGGTCACTGGGCGCCCGAGGTGGTGGTTCTGTGGAGTTAGGAGGGAACAGTGAAGGTTCTGCCCATGAGGCTGGCTGTCGGCTGGTCATCAGACCAGAACCAGCAGCGTGATAGTGTCTTAATAGAAATTACAGATGATTTTATGTCTTTTAATCTGCATTTTACTGTCAGGTGTTTTATTTCCTTCACATTCTTAAATTTGATGATTTACCTTTTTTGCATGCCCTTGCCTTTATGAAGGTGTTATAAGTGAGACAAACAACATTACACCAAAGAGTTACCACATTAAAAAGAAACACATGTATTAAAGGCATGGAGAACATCTACCTACTCTCCTTTCTTAGCTGTGCCTGCCCGTGGTGACTGTCATTTTCAGCTCTGAGAGTCCCAGGGGTGGGACCCGAAGGGTAGGCCTTGCGAGGGGTCACTCTCTGCCACCACCCGTCTGTTCCGTGCGTGTCTGTGCTGCCTCTGTGCTGCTTGGACCTCAGTGTGCCGAGGCGTCGCTTGGGCCCTGCCTTGCAGGGACGCTCTGACTCAGGAAACCTGGGGACGATGTAGTGATCTGCACTCTTCACAAGCCAGCCAAGTGATTCTGACAAAGGAGGTCTAGGTTTAAAGGAACTTCAACCTCCAGAGTGGGGATTTGGGGGTGGAGGGGGAGAGAGAGAGGCGGGTCTGGGTAATGCTGCTCGGAGGGAGGGGCAGGTCAGGGTGAGGACAGCAGACAGGAGAGGAGAGGAGTTCTTAAAGGGCAGCGAAATACACCCAAGACAGAGTTTCTGCTCTTCAGGTGGTGGAAGTGTTATGTGGGAGATGATTTCCGTGTGTGCACCTTTGGGACGGTGCAGAGGTTGTGGTGTTCAGAATAAAGGTATCCGGGTCGTTTGGAAGTGTCACTCTGTCCTTCAGCCCAGCCTCCCCTCTCTAGGGTCAAGGGCAGTATCACCCAGTCCCCCCCGAGTCCAGTGCAGTTTCCCCCCACATCAGTGGTACCCTGCTAACTTCCTCTTTCTCCCCAGAGGTCTTAGGATGTTGAGGAGTCGTTTGCATTGAGGGGAGAATTGAGGTCCTGGGAGAAAATGAGATCCCTGAGGGGAGGAGAAAACAAGAGGCCTGGACACCGAACATTCAGTCGGGCAGTACCTACCGCATGCGCACTGTGTGTGAGGTGTTGTGTTTGGCCTCACACACAGTGAGGCCAAGATCCCTGAATCCGTGAGGATTCAGTGGGGACCAAGACTGGCATCGTTTCCACCCTTCTAGAGCTTAGAGTCCAGTGGGAGGGACAGGCACCATATAGCCAGTTGTACATCTGTGTTGTTAAAGTTGGGAGTGAAGACTTTAAGGACGTGTGTCAGATGCTATGAGATTATTGAACAGGTGGTTTTACCTAGTGTAAGGGGACAGACTCAAGGGCAGGAGGAAAGAGCACACTAGTAAAAACACAAAGATGCAGCAGCCCAGAGGTGGGTGGAGCAGGGGATTTCAAGGTCAAGTTTGTGGTCGTTCAGAGCCCACGGCTGTGGAATAAGGGAAGATGGGAGCTGAGGCTGGTCTGCTGCGTAGAGGGATCTCAACCATTCCCGAAAGTTGCGAGAGTAAGAGAGCCAAAGGCGGGTGGCAGGTGGTTAATGAGTGAGAGGTGAGGAGTCTTAAGTACTGGGGCAGGACTCTCATGCCCACTCTCTGGACACTTAGCATGAAGTGCCTTGTAGCGTTCTGGCTCCGTTTGCCTGGTCTCCTCAGCGAGATAGACAGCTCCCTGAAGGTTGTGGTGACAGCCCCACCCCCAGCGCTGGGTCAGCAGGTAGAATGAGTCACCAGACAGAGGCCCGAGACCTGGGAGCTGGTGCTGGTGCTGGTTCCGTCGCACAGAAGCACAGAAGCCCGTGCCCGGGCCGAGCCCGTTTCCTCATCTATAAAGTGGCGCCCCCCTCCCTCCCCTCTCCGCGGGCCGTCGGAAGGCTCTGTAGGATGCTGCGCACACAGACCGACTCTGTGACCCGGAGGTTCCTTCTCTGTGGGAGACACTGAGGGTGTTCGGTAAGTGACGGTGGCCCCTTAGGGAGCTCTCTGACCATCAATTGTTTGTTTCTTTGTTTAGATTTGTTCCGTATATTGGGATTGTGACAATCCTCATGAATGACTATCCCAAATTTAAGGTAAGATCCTGTGCTTTCTGTTTCATTAAAAAGTGATCTTTTGCTAAATTTTGGAAACCATTAAATGGATTCCACTGAAAAGATAGAAGACTAAGTGGATAGGCGAGTGATACGTCCCGGGCCTGTTAGCGCTGAGGGCCATGCGCCCGGAAGGCCCCTCTGACCCCTGTGTTTCTTTTCCAGTACGCCGTCCTCTTCCTGCTGGGTCTGTTTGTGCTGGTGCATCGGGAGTAAGCCGCCGCCTCGCGGTTCCTGGGAGAGGCCCTCCTTTTCGTTGCTGATGTTGGAGTTGCTGTCGGTCGGGACTGGAGTGGAGCGCGCGTGCGGCCCCCCGGTAGCGCCGGTTTGCATTAGTTTCTGTTTCCACACCAGTCTGTGGGCGGGCGCATGTGCACCGAGGCGTGCACTGGAGGGGACTCTCAGTCACAGGGTTTCATGTTGTCATGGTCACACTTTCGCATTTTTGTACATCGGTGAATTTTTTATATTAAAAGGTTGAGCCAAAGCCCCCAGTGTTTGTATTTTGAAGCCAAGCTTCACTTCTAAAGTGCCTACAGAGTTCTGTCGGGGGCACGCGGCTCTGCCCGAGTTCGAAGCTGCCGGTCCCCCTCACGGTGGGGATGGCGTCAACCGAGGTGGCCGGAAGTCTTAACTTTTCAGAATTTTAAATAAAGACTTTGCATACTGAACCCTTTATCCCTGACTTGTGTTTCCGGGAAACCCTCAGGCAGCCTTCCTCCCCTGCCGGTTCTCAGCGCCCCTTGGGGGGGACACAGCCTTCCACGGAACCGTGTGAGCACTCAGAAGGCCGTCCTCACACTACCTGCCGTTTCTTTGTTTGCTTGTATTTTTTGGTTTGTTTGTTCTCATGAAGCCAAAGTAGCTGTCGTGTTCATAGGCGATCTGAGTCACAAAGTTGATTCTTTGCTAGGGTGTGACTCAGATGCGTGTCAGCCAAGCCAGAGAGGCCGAGAGGCCCAGGCCCTCCCTGAGCCGCAGACGCACCCCCTCCTCTGCTCCTGAGATGCTGCGCCGGCCTCTAGGGCGGGGCCTGGGAGCCAGCCCGCCGGAGGGCCCTCGGCTGCTGTCTTCTCTGAGCTCTCACCCGCCTGGACCTGCCCTCTTAGTTCCTGGCTTTGCTCGGCAGGCTTCGGAGGCCGGGGTCCTGGTGGTGGAAGCAAAGCCCAGCTCTGCTTTTCTTCTTTCGCTATTGAGGCAGTTAGGGAAGAAGGAAAAGTAGGGAAAGCCGATGTGTTTTAAGCACAAAATACTCTTGAATACTTTGTTCTCTTCTTGTGTTAATCTGAAATCTCAAGCATTCTGTTTTGGGCGAAAGACACGATTTCTAGTACTTGTTCCCCCGAGGTGGACCTCAGTTCACGCTGTACTGCTAGTGGAATGAGAAGAGGGACCGTGAGGGCCCCTGTGGAGCACAGTGCCATCGAGGCTTCAGCCTTCAAGCCTCAGATACGGGCTCTCACTGGTCCCAGCAGAGCCTGCCACTTGGCAGATCACAGCTCACTGGTGCTTCCTTGCACCCGTGGGGAGGCGTCTGTTTTCTCAGGCGCCAAGGACAGTGCTGAATGGCCCCCTGTGTGGATGGCAGGGTGGCAGCTCCCTCCCCCTTTCCCTTGTGGAACCACAGAGTCAGTGCCCGGCCTCTGTTTGCAGACCAGCCTCGGGGCGTCCTCAGGCTCCCCGTGCAGGCGGCCTGGCCCTGCATCCTCTGCAGCCCAGCTTCTCCCCCACACACCCCCCAGGAGGGGACGTTAACGTGTCTCTCGCCTGCGTCTCTTCACACTCAGTTTTGTGACATTACTGTTTTCCCTCCTTTGCCTGGATGCTCTACTTGGAAGCAACAGCTAAATTTCTGTGAAAAGTAAAGAAATCATGTACAAATATTTGAATTGCTCTATTAGCCAAAAATAAAAAGATTTTTTGTGGAGACAGGTATTATGTTCCCACGTTTTGTGTTATCTAGTTTAGTGCTAAAACAGCTTAAAACTGGGAGGTTGTACTTGTAAACACAGTGTATTTTAAAAGCTCTTTGAAAATGTAATGTAAATGCCGGAGATGTTTAATTTGATGTTTTAATGGAATGGTAAGCTCTTTCAGAGCTGGGAGGGCTTAATCATTGTGAGCCAAGGGAATTGAGGAGAGTAAGACTCGATAAAACCGGACGGGAATCTGATGGGGGGGGCTGTGCCCTGGCCGGCACCCGTCCACGCTCATCAACCCCACTGTGGGCGGCACGCGCTTTCCGGACGCCTGTGCTCCGTCCGGTCTCGAGTCCCTGCCCCCTGGGCACACTCACCTGACTGGCCGGTCTTCAGCTTACCCTCACAGCCGTCCCCACACACTTCCCCTCCAGATCTCACCATTTCTTCCGAGGTGCATACACCTGGGTGTTTCATTTTCCCACATCGGTCCCTCACAAAGGGACCCCCTTCTGCTGCCACTGCTGTCCCCCGAGTGGCGCCCTGTCGCTAGGGCTTCCCTGCAGTGGGCCAGTCTCTGCCAATGTTAGGTCATGTCCACCTGTTTACTCCGAGAAGTAAACCCCCTTTACTCCGAGAAGTAGCTCTTTTGGACCGTAGATTTTGTTTGCCCTAAGTATGACGTATGTGTGAAGTTCGAACTTTGACCTCGGCGACCGTGAAGCTCCCGGGTGCTGTACCGCCGCTTCTCCACTGACACTCTCGCTTGTGCGTGTCTGGGCCTCCCTTTCCGCAGAGGTCGTCGTTCTCCCTCGCTCGCCCGCCCAGCACGCGCAGCTCCGTGCCTCTTGTGTGCGTTTCCGCCCCGGCCCCCAGTCCCCTCCTCGAATGGATGGTAAGCCACTCCGGGGCCAGAGTCCACTTTGCGGAGGTGGCTCGTTTTCCCTGTAGCATCCAGCGGCGAGGACTGAATGTTCGGCAAAGCCAGGCCTGGGAACCAGGGGTAGTAATAACTTAGGGTAGCAGTAGTATTGAACTGTTATTCTGGGGCAGAGCACATGGCCCATTACAGCGATTTCAACTTCCCTGTTAATTGCTAAGTACATTATCTTGGTCTTGCCAAATTTGAATCTGAAAACTTTCTCTCTCTATGGTTCCATTGGAGCAGCATGTTCCCTTTCCAGAATCGTTAAGGCGAACCCTGTTTTCTCCTTTTGAGTGGTGTCCTCGGCCTCTTCTGTGTGCTGCTTCCCGGTGGGAGCCGTCGGTGAGTGTCACTGTTCTCGGGGCGTCTCAGGCGTCCGGAGAGCCCGGTCTTGGGACGAAAGCTCTGTTATTCCTGAGTACGAGTGTTGGTGATTTGCACAAGTGTGTTTCCGAGTCCCATCGACCCCTTAGAGCACTGGGCGGGGCCGTCCATGATGCATATCGCTCTGCCGAGCCTCGGACACGGCCCAGTGGTTCCCGCAGCTGGATGGGCGTCCACCTTCCTCACCGTGCACCTCCGGTCAGGCCCGCCTGCTCAGGCTGGTTTCTGGCTGCGCACGTCTTTGTCGCTGTCCTCCCTTCCTGGGACTGTAAGCAGTAGCAGACAGGCTTTTAGAAATAAAATAATAAATCGGACCCTTCGCATACAGCTACAGTCCTGAGTCTGGGTCTAGAATTCTTGGATTAGAACTCTAACCACAAGGTGTGAGAGATGAGAATACCCAGGTGCAGTCAGAATGTACTGAAGAGCCCTGGTGGGGTGGCTCCGTTGGTTAGAGCGTCGTCCTGATGCTCTGGGTTGTGGGTTCAATCCCCATTCAGGGCACATGCAAGAATCAACCACTGAGTGTATAAGTAAGTGGAACAATAAGTGTCTCTCTCTCTATATATAAGTAAGTGGAACAATAAGTGTCTCTCTTTCTCTCTAAGTAAGTGGAACAGTGAATGTCTCTCTCTCTCTCTCACACACACACACACACACACACACAATCAGTAAATAAAAAATGTTACAGAAATAGTGAGGACATTGCCTTCGAAGTGTCATTCTAAGCACCCAGGATTTTTCCAGCCTCAGCTCTCAGCGGATCCCACGTCTTGTGCCCTCCCCAGTGGCCTCACGGTACGGACCCCCAGCCTTTGCTTGTGCCCGCCGCTCTGCCCGCAGTGCCAGCCCGCTGCCCCCACCTCTGAGAGCTTTCTCCCCAGCAGGCGTTCATCGAGCATCTACTCCGGGCCAGATTTTAGGCCCCGGGGATACAAAGATGAGTGAGGCCAGGTCCCTCCTCTGCCAGGGACTCAGCGCCTTAACAGCGGCAGCGTGAAACAGAACTTTTCCGCATAGGACCCTGTGCACGGGGAGCCCGGAAGAGGAGCATTTTTATTCCTGACTGAGCTCTCGAGTGTGCAGCTCATCCTGCTCAGCGCTGCCAGGCTCTGTTCACGCTCCTCCCGGCCTCCCAGGACGGGTGCCCCGCCCCCAACCGGCTCCCTATCGGCGTTGGGGCGGGGCCGGCCTCTTGAGTCCTGTGTGTCTCCCGTCCCGTTACACTGCTCTTTATTTGTGCCTTGCGTTGTTGCGAAAGGGATGTGGAGTGGCTGAAAAAGGTTTGGACACAAGATACGTGATAAGGTCCAAAATAATTAAAGAATTTGGGATCAAAGTAAATGGGAAGAGAAAAGGAAAAGCAAGTAGGTGATAAGATGGATCAGAAGGCTGCTGTGCAAGTTGGCTCTCAGCCCCGTGGGGTTTGTGTGAAGAGGGACAGGGTGGTGCCTGTGCTTTAGTGGAACAGGCCTGATGGGATAAAGCGACAACGATGCGTAATGACACCGAGGACCAAGGAGTTTTCCTTCCGGGGCCTCCTCGCCGGGGCGTGGGGAATTCTTCAGTAGCCTCTGTGCCAGGCAGCCCACCGAGGGTCTCAGGGCTCGTGCCTTCAGCGCAGGCCGAGTGGGGCCGCCTCGCAGGAAACCGGCGGCCACCTGGCCAGCCCGGAGCCTCCGGCTGGCTTTTCTGCAGCGTAGCGCTCCTTACTCCTACAACCACGGCCTCTTTGAAGACACGGACAGCTCTCGTACCTCTTCCTCATTCTGATAAGCTCTCTCTTGTCTCTTGTATCCAACCTGTTACCCTCACCAGCTGAGAATATTTCATCTTGCTTAAGTTGATATTATAAAAACTGGTTACTCACATACAGTTATAGTATTATATTGAACATGATGTTCAAAGTGTAGATTCTTGTTCTACCAGTCTAGGAGTTTCTGGAATGCCACCTACTCTCAGTTCAGAATCATATCTCTCGAACCCTCACTTAGTTAACTGGCCAGTTCGAGTGGATTGGTAAGCTTTGGTTCCAGGAGTCTAGTTAAAAGGATGAGTGCTCAGGACGTACTCCACACACGTCAGCCAGTTGGCTGGCATTTAGTTCGATCGACGCTGTCTGCCCGATGACTGGTTTACGCGAAAAAGAGAGAACCTTGTATAGAACTTGTTTCTTGGACTTGGTCAAAAGTTGAAGGAGCTGTGCTAGCATTTTAGTGGATCAGGCAGCTCCCAGTGTCACGGCCACTCTGCCAAGGCATTGGGTGGACTGTCCTGCCACCACCGGGCCTCTGCCGCTGCCCAGGGGAGCTTTCTGCCTCATGATGGATGGGCTTCAGGTTCCACTCAGGCTTTGCTTCTGCTTCTCCTGGGACCCAGCTCACAACGTCGAGTACTTAGAATTGCCACGTGCTCTGCTGTGTACTTTTGAATTTATAGTAGGTTTTTATTTTCTTTCACTTGGTCCTCAAAATCAACTCCATTTTACAAAAGAGAAAAACCAGAAGTGGAGAGATTTGCCCAGCACCTTCCAGTTCCTGGACGACGAGCCAGAACTCGAGGTCGGTTGCTGGGTCATGTCACAGTGCTGAGTGTCGTAACCCGTTGCCTACCTCTGCAGAGTCTGGTGAGGCTCTTATTTGGAATAAACTGCACAGTAGCAAAGCCCCTGGGAATGGTTCTTCAGAGTCTCTGGGTGGTTCTGTTGTGGATTTGCTCGGGTTAGTAAATCTCCTAGATACAGCGAGGTTCTCAGGCAGCTTTCCAAGCACTGACACCTCTTTGAAGTTTCAAGCGTATTTATTTCAGTTACTGAAATGACCCCTGAAATATGTGGCTGTTAACACCCAGCTAATTGTTCAGGCCGGGCCTGGCCCCTGGCTCCCTGGAGGCTTCACCGCCTCCCTGAGGCCTGGCTGCGAGCAGCCGAGCTTTCTCGGCCACTGTGGGGACTGTCATCACTTTTTCATCGGATATCGGTATTCTCTCTCTTTTTGTAAAGATAGCCTTTTTTTTTTTTTTTTAAGAAAAAGCATTTTGAAATAAATACCGTCCGATAAAAGAATTGCATTTTGACAATTTCAGTTTCCGAAATATTTCCTTATGAATGACTAAGGTTCTGATTTTCTAGCTAATGTCTTTGAGTTCCTTCCAATTTTGGGAAACTATGAAATATCCCTGATCTTCCCTTTGCCTCTCTTAAAGATTCTGCTGTTTTTCTGATGCTACAACCCCTTTCTTATTCCAAAGAGAAAGGCCTGAGGTGTCTCTGGATGTTTCCTGTGGGTGCCCCAGCCCCCAGAAGGGCACCTGCGCCCAGAGGTTGGCCAGGAGACTGGTGTGACACCGTCCTATTCAGAGCGGCTCTATGCTTGTCCTCATTGCTTTTTACTAGGCTCATTGATGTCTCATTTAAATTTCTGCTTTCTCTTTCTCTTTTGTCCTCTGTATCTTTCATTTGTTTGAAGTCCACACTCATTTTCTCCATTTGTTTAATTTCTCGGAAACTAGCTTGCTTTGTGCAGGAGTTAGCTTCTCTATAAAAGGGGTGTAATACTGGTCTTTAATGCATCGGAATAGTGTTGGGGGTCACAGGAGCATGGATGCGCTTTTGGAAAACGTGTCAACAAAGACTCAGCTGTGAAAGGTGTTGCTTGTAATGGATTCTAATTTAATGAAAATATAGCAAACAGTAATACGTGTCCTCTCTTTTAAACAACCTTTGATTTTAAACCATGATGTTTTTACAAAAGTCTTTGAGAGAGAGAGAGAGACATGGATTTGACGTTCCACTCATCTCTGCACTCATTGGTCGATTCTTGTATGAGCCCTGACCCAGGACCGAACCTGCAGTCTTGGCTCACTGGGACGGTGCTCTAACCAACTGAGCCAGCAGCCAGGGTGCAGTTTTAATGTTTGGTTGGCATTACTTATACCAGTATTTGCCACGTATTTTTCCCTCCTTAAGTCATTTTTCAGATTATCTCATGGATCTTTCCCGCATTTCCCGTGGATGTCCTCAAATGTTGTAGGAACCTGGGGAGAGTCAGCAGTGAGTTCTGATGAGCTTCCACACTGCACCGCCATGTGCTTCACTGCCAGTCTTCCCTGTGGGAGGAATGGGGGCCTTGGGACTTCCCTGGCCATTGCCATGAACTTGGGGAACAGGCAGCCAGCAGTTGAGGTCCTCGTCCTGAACCCAGAACCTTGTACTCCCGGGAGATCCCTTAAGAAGGGCTGTCTCCGGCCAGCCACCCTCTCTGCCGTGCCTAACGCTTCTCATTCCTGAGCAGCACTTTACAGCTGGCTGTGGAGCGGCTGGCTGCCCTGCTGCGTTCTCCAGGGTCCTCTGGGCTCCTTCTTCCTGTGCTAGGCTGAGATACAGTGATCCCAGGGGCACCCGGGGGCAGCCTTTGGGGGCAGCCTCGGAGCTGCTGTTGGGTGGTGAACCCAGGCTGTGTCAGAGGAGGCCTGGCCTACTCAGCGCAGCATCCCGAGGTCCCTGCAGAAGGGAGGTGAAGCTCCAGATTCAGGGCCGGCTTTCTCTCCTCCTGAGAAATCTAAACCAACTTGGTGTTTAGAATTGGGATAGTAAAGCGGAGTGGGAGTGGTTGAGGGAAAGCAGCCCCTGCCCTGACCTGAGTGGTCCCAACAGACCTGAAGTCTGATTCCAGTGTGGGGTCTGGACCAGTGACTCAATCTGGAGCCCGTTTCCACCTAGGAAGAGAGAGGCGAACCTACCGAGAAACATCCCTGCAGATGTTTCCTGGAGCAGCGCCCAACGCCAGCTCCTGTGTTTTCCCACCAGTCACTGCATCCGAGGACCGGAGAAGACAGGATGGGCATGTGACTGATACAGAGGAGAGGGAGGGGGTCGCCGAGGGGGTGACTGTTATGGGAAGGTGACAAGAGCTATATCTGTGCACCATGGCTAAGCTGTGATGAGACTGCGGGGAGGTGTAAATGCCGGGGTGGGAGACGAAAAGCAAGGTGGTTGGGGGAAGCCAGGGCCGGAAGCGGAGTGACCTTGCCCCGTGTGTCATGCTCCTGGGAGGCAGCTCCTCTTACACGCTTCCCTTTGGGGTGGCGATCCCGCGGGAGCAGGCCTCAGAGCAGCCCTCGCTGAGCGGCTCCGACACAGCCCTGGTGTGCGGTGTTCCAGGGCAGGGTCCGCAGCCCCCGGCCGGCTCCACCCACGCCTCCGCCTCCGCCGCCACTCTGTGCCTTCCGTCTCCAGTGCCCAGCAGCGTGCCCTGAGCTTGGGTGGTTAGTAGACATTTAAGCTAAAGGAAATGTGTTATTTTGGAGCCCAGTTTCTTTGCCTGCTCGTAAAGCAATGCCGCTGACCCAAAAGTTCTTCCCGGGGAAGACTGGACAGCTCGGGATGGGGGGGGGGTGATACTGAGTGTGAGTGGGCAGAGCTATAGGGCAGCTGCTTTCTACTACGGAAAACTGTAAAAAATGTAAAAGTATTAAAAATAGGGCCATGCGGTTATTCCCGTCTTATGTTGAAGAAGAGTGGGTTTGGGGGCGTGGGGTCCTCACAGCCTGCACAGGACTCCTGGCCCGGTGCCCTTCCCCCAGCCCAGAGGTCCGCCTCCACCGGCCGGGCAGCTGCTGGCAGCGCTCTCCCCAGCAGGGTGTCCGTGGGGTGGGGCTCCTTATCTCTTCCTCGCCCTACTTTCCGGGCCCAGGCACCTGCTGTGATTTCCGCTGAGTGCCGAGTGCTAACCTGGAGCGGAGGAAGAGCTGGCCAGAGTCCAGCCAGAGTCACTGGAGGGAGCGAGGGGCTCCCCCAGCACCTGGGTCTTTGCAGGGCTCGGACGCCGGTATGATACTGGGGAGTATCCTCGCCCCGCTCTTACCCTTGCAAAGGGAGGCTTAAGAGGGGGGCGGGAGCAGGGAAGGCCGAACATCCCGCAGGAGCGGTGCCCACCGGTGCGGGAGTCTGGGTGTATAGGTTGTGGAGGACCCCGTGGAAGGGCTGGCGGGGCGGGCGGGGCGGAAAGCAGGGGCGGCTCCTGAGGCAGGCTCCGCCCCAGGGCGCGGGTTTAAAAGCGGGAAGGCAGGCGCCGAGGAAAGGCTCGTAGCTCAGCAGGAGTGGAGCGGCAGTGCAACTCGGGCACAGCCATGGCCCTACGGGCGCAGGGCGCCCGGTGGCTGGGCAGCATCCTCCTCTTCGCCTTGCTCGCTGCCAGCGCCGCATCGTTCAGTTGGGATCTCCCCGAGCCCCGTGGCCAGGCCAGCAAAATCCGAGTGCACCCACGGGGCAACCTCTGGGCCACCGGTAAGTCTTTGGGACCTGGGCAGGTGCTCCTCACCACTGTGCTCTCAAACCCTTTTTCTTCTCTGGCTGCCCTTCAGCCACAGACAGAGTGTCTGGGTGGGCGGGGACCCTGTAACTCATCTGATTTAGTAGATGGACAACTTGAGACCCAGACAGGTCAGTTAGTTGGCTAAGGTCCCTCGGCTAGTTTCACAAAAAGCTGAGAGGCTGGGTCTTGTGTCTGCCTGCCAACTGGTGGCCCTTCCCTGAAGCAAGACCCTGCTGACTTCTCCTCTAACCTGTGTGTGTCTCCTCCCTGCACCTCCACCTCCCAGACCCCTCTTCCTTCTCCACTTCCTTCTCTGCCCTTTGCTACCCTCCCTAAGCGCCCCGGCCCATCCCACCTGCTCCTCGCTGCACCGTCCTCTCCACCCCCTCCAGCTGTTCAGGAAAAGGTGAGGTGCAGGCTTGGCCACCAGCCAGAGGTCCTTATGGCTCCTTGGTGAAGAAGGGGGAGGTTGCGTGTACTCCTGCCGGGAAACTAAAAGGCGGGAGAGACCCGGAGCTTTCCCACTATGATGGGGTCCTCGCTCCCCGACTTCCTTGTGCCTCGGCACCTCCTTTCTAGGTCACTTCATGGGCAAGAAGAGTGTGAAGCCCCCCAGCCCACCCCTACTGGGGACAGCTCCCCACATCTCCCTCAGGGATCTGAGACTGCAGCTGAGTCATGATCTGCTCAGGATCCTCCTGCTGAGGAAAGCTCTGGGCACCAGCCCCAGCGGCCCACCCCCTCGCACCCAGGTGAGCCAGGCCCCACCTCGCACCCAGCCAGGGCTGCCCCTTGGCTCAGCACTGGGTTTAGGGGGTGCCTGCCCGGCCAGGCGTGATGGGCCCCAGAAATCCAGGGATTCCAGGCTCTCCCTGTGATCCAGAGCTCAAAGGAAGAGGACTCCAAAGAAAGAAAGGCAGGTGAAAAAATAAAAAGAAAGAAAATAATAATAAAAGGAAACTGACCTTCCCAGCAAACCCCACAGAGTAAGAAGCAGGTTTTCCCCTCACCAGTTGCCTGGTCTGAAATGAGCGTCTTGTAGCTGGACCTTCACCAGACAGTCCAGACTCATCCTTTCCCAGCTCTCCACCCTTGCGGTGCCTGCTCTGTGCTCATGGTTGACGCTGGGACACTGAGGCCCACAGGGGGCAGAAGGGTCGGTCAGCAGCTGAGACAGAGGCCGGCCTTGTTCACACTGACCAGCGCCCTTCCCAGTCTGTCATCGGCTCGGTGACCAGTGGCAGGCCTTCTCGACCTCCGCACGTTCTGGGCTGGGTAATTCCCTCTGGCGGGGGCAGTCCTGTGCATTGTAGGAAGTTTAGCAGCATCCCTAGTGTCTGTCCACTAGATCATCCCCCCCACCTTCCTAATTGTGACAGCCAAAAGGTCTTCAGACACTGTCAGAGATGCTCTGGCGAAGAGGCAGAGCAGGAGTTAAAATCAGCCTTGGCTGTAAACTACTGACCTCTGGGGTTCAAGGCCCCAAAGCTAAAGCCAAGCCAGCCCCAGTCTCTAGCCATTCCCCGCTGCTGCTGCTGCTATCCCCTCCCCACCCCACCCGCCCTGGTACTCTGCTGCTGTGTGCGGAAGGCAGAGTGAGGTGGCAGATTAGGGGCGACAGTGTGCTAGGCTGAAAACTTAGCTGCTTAGAAATGTCACTTAACCTCTCTAAGCCTCATCTTCCTCATCTATAAAATGGGGGTAATAGTGCCGATCTCCCCTTAAATGAGACCATGTCGTGCTTATTAGCCTGATGCCGGGTGTATAGAAAGTGGTTAGTAAGTGGGAGCTAGAGTAGTCTGTGAGCTCCCTGGCAGCGCCTGTTGCTGACTCACCTTTGCATCCCCCTCTGTGCCGAGCATGGACTGCGTACATTTTGAGAGAAGGCAGGGGCGTGCCCTAGAGAAGGTCCAGCTGCAGTCAACCCTCCTGACCCTCCCGATGCCCAGAACCACCCCAACCCTGGGGACCTCAGATGAAAGGGTTAGGTAAGAGCTCGAGCTGGCTGGGTCTGAAAGGGAGACGATGTCACCTCTGGGGCTGTTGGTCTTGAAGGCCTGAAACATGCAGACCAACTAGAAAATCTCAGACGACGCTGTACCTGGCCCTGGGAGACGGGCTTCAGAGGTGAGTAGGGGGGGTGATGAGAACACTGACCCTGGCAGAGGGCCAGTCACCATATGTAGACTTCCGTGATCTCCCTTCACTGGCATGACCATGAGGGTGGGGCTGTTACTGTGAGAAAACCACCGCCCCGACCCCTTCCAGACCCTTCCTCAGGGAGAGGTGAGGGAGGTTGCCTCCGATGACAGGCTGTCCCTGTGTGACTGGATGCCTAGTGCTCAGGGACGGCGGGATGCCCCCATCAGTCGCCCCTTCCGCCTGGGTCAATTCCTGTGCCTTCCCTTCCAGTACAGGAGGCTGCTGGTGCGAATGCTGCAGAAGTGATGCCGTTAATGAGGAAGACTCGACCACGTGGCTTAGATTGCGCCCACCCAGGGAAGGTGCTGAATGGGACCCTGGCAGTGGCCCCATCTGGTTGTAAATCCTGGGCTCAGATCTCCATTACTCCATTACTGTGATTTCTGGTCCGGTCACCAGGAATGTCGTCAATGCAGACACAAATTATATTCCTGCTGTATTTCTTGCTTCCCTGTTGAAGTGGTGAATAAAAAGGCCTTGCTCTTTGCATAGAACGTCTGGTCCTCTCCTTCCAGTGTGTTTGAGGGGATGGGAAGGAAAGGGGTCTGGATGATGGGGTGTTCAAATGAGATGGGGCTGGCTCCCAAAACCCCAGAACACTCCATGGCACCAGCCAGGCACTGCCCCGGGGACTCCTACTCGTCAGCCCATTCAGCAAGCAGGTTACTCAACACCTGCTGAAGGCCAGGTCTCGTGACAGGCAATTGGTTCTGCTCTCGCCTCTGCCACCTACAGGCAAGTCTTATGTTTCCTTGCCCGTCAAAAGGAGTTGCTTTGCTTACCCCATTCATTTCATCCTCTCGCCAGGCTTTGAGGGGAGCCCTGGCACATACAAGGGTGAGAGCCCGGCGGGACTCCCAACTCTGCTGCCCTCTCAACTCTTCTCTGCTTTCCGAAGGATTGCCGGAGTGGGCAAAAAGTACAGGACGCCCAGTTAAATTAGAACTTCAAATAATCGTTTTTTTCGTATAAGATGGCCTAATATTGCATGGATATACTTTTAGGATAAAGTTACTCAAAACTGGGATTTTACCAGGCGTCCTGTATTTTACCTGGCCCTGGCCCACTGGGCTTCAAATAACCTGGTCGTAAAGATCGGTGTCAGGTCCCTCAGGCCCTGCCCGGACCTGACCTCCTGGGGATTCCTGATTCTACGTCATTTTTCCGGAGCCTTTGCGGGGAGAACCCCGAACCTAGGCAGGTGAAGGGCACAGCGTCTCCGCATCCCCTCTCTTACGAGTCTAAGTCCCGCCCCCTGGCGTGAGGCTACGCCCCCTATGTCCGAGCAGGCCGCGCCCACTCCTCGCGAGAAGACTGCTCCGGCGCCGGAAGGCTCCCAGACGGAAGTTGGGTACCGGAAGTGGCAGTTACCATGGAGCTTGCGGAGGACTGGCTGGTGCAATCTTTGCGCTTGTAAATCGTGTGGGCTTGGGTTGGGGGACTCAGTTGCACAGCTAGGCTGGCGGGCAGGCGGGCGCGAGATGTATCACGTAGGGAATCCTGTCCTGGGTCCGGCGAGCGCAGGCGGAGGGGCGGGGCCGCACGGAGGACTCCGCCTGGGCCTCGGCTCCCGCCTCTGGGATGTGGCACATTCCCGAGTGTGCCAAGTGGTTTGAGGTGCTCCAAGTAGGAGCAGTGCTCGTGAAGGGTAATGATAAGTGTCCTATTATTTTGTGCCAGCCAGTGAGTCGAACCCCAGGTTATCTCATAGATTCCTCGCATCAACCTAGGGGAATCTTGGTGCTCTGAGAGGTCCAAGCCTCGGGGATATCGTGACTGGCCTGGTTCCAGTCACACAGGAAGGAAAACGTGTGTAGGAAGACTTGATCCTGGGTTTGGCTGACTCCAGAGCCTGGGTCCCCAAACACCGGACCACGTCAGAGTTCTTTAACAACTGTGAAGTGCTGTGCACCATGTAACCTTGTGTCCCTACCATGCAGGTACCAGGATTTCCATGCATTCGACCTCTCAGGTGCCACTCGAGTTCTTGAATGGATTGGTGACAAAGGTGAGGAGATGGGATCCCACTCAACCTGGGAAGCAGGAGCTCAGCCCAGAGGGACCCAACCCACTCTTCTGAGAGCCTCGTGGTCACTTGCGGCAATTTCGTGCCCTGCTGGCACTTACTAAGATGGGGATCTGTTCCATCCCCCAGTAACTTGGCTGCTTGTCAGTGACAAAGGAATTCAACGGGTTTGGCAGAGTTTCTAGACTCAGCCACAGTCCAGAATCTTTCTAGCAGTTTGTCACAGCTGTGTCTACTTCTTTCTCCAGGAGTTTTTGTTGCTGGCTACGAAAGCCTGAAAAAAAATGAAATTCTTCATCTGACGTTACCTCTCAGACTGTCTGTAAAAGAAAACCAGGTAACTTGAAATACAAATGCTGTGTATATGTGTCTACCTTTAGTCATCTATTATACCTTCCTGGAGCTTCTGTTGTCGACTAGCTGCTGTTGACTAGAAAGAGGGAGATGGAGAGAACAAACCGTGACCCTGCCCTTCCAATCCGATAGAGGGAGGCAGAAACTCACGCAGATAAGTATTAAGGAATGTCTTGTGATTTTCCAGAGGGCTACTGGAGGAAGAGGTCACTTGTAGTTTACCAAAAATAGATTTAAGGAGCTATTAAGGTGTAGAGGGTGGTTAAAGCCCTTAGAATGATCGAGAATAAGTGTGTAATAGATAAGGAATAAGAGGGGAAGATGGCTAAAGACAGAAGGATTGGACAGAGAAAGAGGAACTCAAAAGGAATACTAAGAAGTTGGAGAGTGCCCAGGCTAGTATGGCTCATTTGGTTGGGCATCTTCCCTCACACGAAAAGGTTGCCAGTTCGATTCCCAATCAGGTCACATGCCTGGGTTGCTGCTTTGGCCCCTTAGGGCACATGTGAAAGGCAGCCAGTTGACATTTTTCTCCTTCTCCCCCGCTTCCGCTCTCTCTAGATCAAAAATAAAAAATAAAATATTTAAAGTAGGAGGAATTCAGAAAAGGTCAGTGTTTCAGAAGCCAAGAAAAGAGAATATGTCAAAAGAAAAGAGTTGCCCTGGCTGATATAGCTCAGTGGATTGAGCACAAGCCTGTGAAGCAAAGGGCCGCTGGTTCGATTCCCAGTCAGGGCACATGCCTGGGTTGCAGGCCAGGTCCCCAGTAGGGGACACATTAGAGGCAACCACACATTGATGTTTCTTTCCCACGCTTTCTCCTTCCTTTCCCCTCTCTCTAAAAAATAAATAAATATTTTGAAAAAAAGAAGAAAGAAAAGAGTTAGTGTCTGCCTGGGATTGCTGTAAAATCACTGCGATTCATCCGATAGGGCAGCCGGGGTCCCTGTTGCCCTGGGGCAATTTCCTACCGCTCCGCACCTATCAAGCAGGAGCCCAGACGGGCCTTTATGAGAGACCTGGTTTGCCTCCCACCTCACCGCTGGCTTTTCCCATTCCCTCATGTGCCACTTCCTTTTTTCTGCCTCCAGTTCTTTGCACGGAGATAGCGGTCTGGTGGTTAAGACCATGGACTTAGTAGATGGACTTGGGTTCAGATTCACAGTATAACCCTGAGTGGTTTTAGAAAATGTGCTGAAATTCTCTGTGCCTTAGTTTTGTCATTTTAGAATAGGGATAATTCTAGTACCTACATCTCACAGGGTGTTTGTAAGAATTCAGTGAGATAAAGTAGATAAAGCACCAAGCACAGTGCCTGATACAATAAATGCTGGACTATTGGTAGCAATGTTTTTATTGCCAGAAGAACCCACCTGACTTCCAGTGGGAGGTGGTAGGAGAAATGGGAATATGTTAGTTGGCTGATAACTTCCTGTTGTTCTACCCCCCTCCCCCACTATGAAGCTGTTAAGCCTCAGTGACTGCTCTCAAAAGGCCTGGAGTGTAGGCCGTAGAAGGCCTTGTGCTAGAGTGAAAGGGGCTGGGGAAAGGTAGGGAGGAGGGTTTGGGATCTGCAATATAGCAGGGAAGCTGCCCATGAAGGCAGCTGAGACCAACACCGACAGATCGCAGCCCACGAGGCCCCGCAGGGGGAAGCATCTGTTGCCAGCAGAGCAGCTTCCCTGGCTTCCTGCTGGGCTGGTATCTGGCTCCTTACCTGGAGCTCTTCCTCAACATTCCTTTGGGGAGCAGGCTCTATCTGATTGGCCACCCCTCTGTATTTCAGGGCTTATTCCCAGAAAGAGATTTCAAGGTACGCCACGGAGGATTTTCTGACCGGCCAGTCTTTGATCTGAAGCACGTGCCAGACACCAGGTATGGTCAGCTCGTGACCCAGACCCTCCACTGGGGATGGAGTGGCTGGAACTGTGAGGGATGTTCTGCCTCCGTCACCGCCACTTCCCTCCCACCTCAGCACACGCACACAGAAGCTGGAACACAGAGGATCTATTGCTTGGTGGCTTCATGGTCCCTCAGAAGGCCTTTTGACTACCGTAACCCACAGATCTCTGGAGCTGCTCCAAGTAGAAAGTAGAAGGATGCTCTTAGGTTCTCAGAGAGCTGATGGCGTGTGCTGGGGGCTAACAGCTTGGTTGGCAGAGGCTGGGAGTTGGGTCAGAACTGCGTGCTCGAGCTCATGCTGGTGTCCTCTCTAGGACATTCCATGCCGCATGGAAGCCCAGCTCAGCCCCGTGACTCTCCATGGCTGTGGCCTTGTCCCTAGAGTGGATGAGCCTGCTCCTCCTATTCAGTGAGGGTAACTGGTCTGGACAGACCCTTCCTGCAGTGAGCTTTCCTGAGGGGGGCGGTGTAGGAGTCCCACTCTGAGTGGGCTGAAGAGGGGAAAGGGTGTGTGGGTGAGCTCTCCACTGTCTCACCCGAGATTGCCTGTCTGTCCTGAATAGGTTGCTCGTGACCAGTGGCCTTCCAGGTTGTTACCTGCAGGTGTGGCAGGTCGCAGAGGACAGTGGTGAGTGGCTTTAACTTGGTGCGGGTTGACACACACACCTCTGTCCCCTAATCTGAGGCAATTAAGAAGTAGACCCAGAGCCAGGTGGGAATTACAATTCAGTGTCTACTTTAATGCAGGCAGAGATGAATTAGCAACCACAGCATAGCACACAAGCCCCAAATGGAGCTTCCTGTAACTTGCTTCAGGAATTGAACTTACCAGCTCAGTCACAGGCGGGGCACGTAGTGAGCTGCCTCTCCCCCAGGCAGGTGAGCTCGCTTCTGGAGGGGGAGGAGGCAGCAGGAGGTCCCCTCTCTGCTGCATGGTAGCCTCGGGGAAGGAAAACCGGAGTGAGCGGGAGGCTTGGTTGACCTGGTCTCCCCCAGAGAAGCCACTCCAGCCGCGCTTGGGAGTGGAGAGGAGTGCCCTCTGCATCCCCTGTCGCAGGTGCGGAGCCTGCAGTGCCGATCCAGCCCCACGTCCCTCTTCCAGTAAGAGCCTTGTCGTCCAGCCTGCGCGATTGATTCTCTGCCTGCCAGCGGGTCCCCGCGCCACCTCGCTTGGCTGCTTCCCAGAACGGCCTCCGGGTTTGGCTCCCCTCCAAGAGTCCCTGTCGCTGGAAGGCAGTTCGTGTGGCCTCCCTCACTGCGAGGCTGCCGGCCCTGTGCACCCTCCTCCGCTGTTTCCCTTGTGTCACTTCAGGTGCTCGAATCGTTCTCTCGTCGTGTAGTCGTTGGCTACATACTTCTACTGAAATTCACCCATTTCTGGCCTACGATTCAGTGATTTTTAGTAAATTTAACAAGTTGTGCAACTGTCACTGTAAATCAATTTTTAGAGCATTTTCCTAACTTCCAGGAAGATCCATTATGCCATTTACTGCTAATCTCCTGCCCACACCCCGCCCCAGGCAACCACTAATCTACCTTCTGTCTCTACAAATTCCCCTTCGTGTGGATGGAATCAAACAATGTGTGGTCCCTGGTCTCTGGCTTCTCTCGCGTAGCGTGTCGCTTTGAGGTCGGCCTGTCTTCCCCGTCACAGCGTGCGGATCAGTAGCCTGTTCCCTTCACGGCCGAGTGGTGCTCTGTTGTCTGCATGTGCCGCATTCGTCTGCTCATCTGCCAGTGGATGGGTTTGATGTTTGGCTGATAAATCTCTGTGGATGTGTGCATGTTCTCACCTCTCCTGGGTAGACAGTGAAATTGCTGGGTCATGTGGTAAGTTTATGTCCGACATGTTTAGAAACTGCCACACCGTGTTCCCAAATGTTTCATCATTCGCATCCCCACCAGCAGGGTAGGAGAACTCCCATTTCTCCATCCTAATGGGTGTGAAATTGTGTATCATCGTGGCTTTCATTCGAGTTTTCTTCAGGACTGGTAGTGTGCAGCATCTTCCCTCATGCTCATTAGCAGTTCATGCATTTTCTTCGGTGAAAAGCCTATTCAGATAGATCTCTGCAGCGAGGTTGCTTTTTCCCAGCTGAAACAGTGCGCTGTCAAGGGCCCCCCGACACTCTGCTGTGTACGCTTTCACAGATACTTGTGCAGGTGGATCTGTAGGATGTAACCCAAGGTGTTCATGGGTGCGTGTTACGTCCCAGGCACTGTATTGGGCGCTTTCCACACGTGAGATCTCATTACATCCCTGAGTCGAGAACAGAGTCCGTACCGGGGGGCTAACCTGTTCACATTCACAAGGACAGTAGGACATGGGCTCCGAGAAAGGAGCCGGCGTTCTTGCTGACCACGGCGTGCACCACGCCCACACTTTGTCTGGAACTGGCCGGCGGTGGCAGCTCTGTCGAGGAAAGGGCACGTTCATAATAATGATAATAATTACTGTCACTGCAGCAGCAGCGGCCTCTCCCTTGGTCAGCACGTGTCACCGTGTACCTCCCACGCAGGCCGTGGGGCTCTGGGGACTCGTTGCCACGAGGTCTGATTTGTCACTGTTTCTCATTAGGGACTGCACTGTTCGTGACATAGCTAAGAAATAAATTTCCCCTGTGTTTTCTTTCACAAGACTTTTGATTTTGTTCCTCCCACATTTACATCTGCGCTCTTTTTAGAGTTCACTTTTGTGTGTGGTGTGAGGTAAGGGTGGCGTGCACTTACCTTTTTGCATCTGACTCTCCAGCTGTTCCAGTGCCGGTTGTCAGAAAGCCCGACCTTCCGCCACTGACTCGCCTCGGTGCCTGTGGTACCATCAATGGACTGTAAACAGAAGGATTCACTTCTGGACTGTCCAGTCTATTCCATCGATCTTTACATCTGTCCTTGCACCAGTAACTTGTGGTTTGCCCGCAAGTAGGCTGTGCGGCACCACGGCGGTTTGAAGATGGGGGGGTCTTGCCTTCCGTCTGGAGGCGCCTTGCTGCTGCCTCGGGTCTGCAAGGGGCCGGGGTGCCAGGCTGCCCGCCTGCAGAACCCGCGGCCCCTCCCAGGCATCTTGCTCTGATGCTCATGTGAGAGGAAATCAGGTAGTCATCTTCCCCAGGTATTAATGCGGAATGTTCTAGAGCCTGGAGAAAACTTTTCCTGGAAACCTAAAAGCATGGAATTATTTTGGAGAATTTTCCAAGGTCCAGTTCTGACCCACAGCTTCGGCATCTGAAAACCTGATTTTGTCAGCACGTCTGAAACAGATCTGACCTGTTCACCGGGGCAGACGCACTTGTCAGACTCACAGGCTGCCGTGCAAACCAAATGGAAGTTCATTACTGTATGGCGAGGCTGTAAGTGCCCCTGACGGGGTGTTTTGGGCCCCTGTTCTTTGCCCCTGGAAGACCTAACGCGACCGAAGGCTGTGTGACGCACACGGGGGGCCAGCTCAGAGGCTCCCAGGCCGTGTTTTCATGGCTGCCTGAGGCTGACCTTGTGGAGGCCACGCTGTCCAGGCCTCCTCCAGCTGTCCCAGCCCCTGGAAGGGCCGAGGGTCCCTCTCAGCTCCAGAGGGCTCCCACTTCCCCTTGGAAGTGAAGTGTTCAGTCTGGCGTGGCTCCCTCAGTCCTGCACGGACCTCAGCATTTTCTTTGGCTCCTCGGCTGCTCAGCCCCTCTCAGGGGCAGTGCCTCCGGGGTGTCGGTAGGTGTGCTCAGTAACCCGGGTCCGGGAGTCGTGGGGACTCCCGAAGGGTGCCTGGCTCTGCGCCCGCTGTTTTCTTAGTCGAATCTTTTGTGTTGTCACTGAGTTCTCAGAGCTGCCTTCCTGCATCTTCTGCTTTGACTGGTGGTTTCTCTGTACGGCGTGGGGCTGCGTGCATTGGTCAGTGTGCTGTGGACCTTCCCAGAGGAGGGCCTCGCCCGTGGCTGAGCGAGAGCAGGAGGGAGCCCGCCTGCCTTTCTCTGGTGATTGCAGAGCCGCTCTCTAGTCTCAGGCTCCAAAGCCCTTGTTTTCCCCCGCGTCTCTGAAATCCATCCTGGAAGCCTTGCCCTTGGCCTCCTCCTCTCCCGATCAGGGGTAAGTCACCTCTGCCACCAGGCCCGGGCTCAGAGCAGCCAGTCCCAGGGGACCTGCTGCAGGCTCCCCAGAGGCGCTGGGAAGGGAGGAGGGAGCTGCGTTGCTTCAGTGTGGCCTGGAGAGTCAGGATGCTCTGCCGGGCGGGTACCCGAGGCCCAGCTTTTGTGTCTGCCACGAGCCTCTGCAGATGCTGTGGTGGGAGCAGGTTCCTGGAGTAAGTCCAACACTGCACTGAGGGCTGCAGGCCTGGGCAGCAGCAAGGCCCAAGGGCCCTGCGCTCTCTCGCTCAGCCCAGGCAGCCCCCTCTGTGCGCTCCCTGCTTGGGAACGGCCTCGTGGCCTATGCTCTCGGGCTTGCTACCCAACTCCTGTTAGCGTTCCTTCTCACATCCCTTCTGTTCTTGTCCTGACTTACCTAGCCCTTAGAATTTACAAAATATGTAGACCTCCCTTTTCCAGAGACCGGGAAGCAGACAATGTGTGCTCTCTTGGAGCAGCAGAACAGGCCTCTCCCTGTAAGTGGCTCAGACCGCAGGCCGCTCCTTCTGAGTGCGGCCGTGCACGGCTTCTCTCCAGAGAGGCCTCGGTTGCAGGTGCAGAGGTGACGCGGAGCCTGCCTGCCCCCGAGCAGGCTGGAACAGACACAGAAAATGGAGGTTTGGGTCAGCTTGGGGTCACACGTCTTCCTCTTGTTCAGGGTGAAAACGACTCGTTCGTGGACACGGACTCTCTTGTCCAGTCTGTGTTTGAAAACAAGGACTGTTGCACCATAGTCTTTGCCTGTGAGGCCTCAGCAGTGCGCTGAGGTCATGGGATATGTTTTTGAAGAACTCGTATTAGTTCACGAACCCATAGCTGCTATTTGCACGTGTGGTACAAACGACACGGTCAGTGTATTCCTTCCTCTCCTTTCATTTGTGCTCCGCAAAACTGTAAAAAGCCAGAATTGCTGCTGGAGCTTTTGAGGTGGCGGCTGTGACTCATTGTCACCCGTGTGCAAAAGTTTATAAGACAGATTATGAAGAAACTGTGGTGCTGCTGACAGTTTCAAAATGCGAACATAACTCAGTTTATGTTTCCACATCGTCTCTTGCCAACTGTCAGTTCCCTCTTCCTGGACCTTCCGATGTGCAGGGGAGGCTGGCTGCCTTCCTCCCATGATGATGGAAGCCTCCCCTTTCCCCTAGATGTCATTAAAGCTGTCGGCGCCATTGCTGTGCCTGAGAAAGAGCAGGGTCTCTGGCCCAGGGTCTCCGTCTTCCCAGCAGCGGCACCCGCAGTCCTGCACGGGGCTCGGCTCAGCGGTCTGAAGGTGGTGGATCTGGAGTCCCAGAAGACCACGTATGCCTCAGGTACGGCCGCATGCGCCCCGTGCCCGCCCCTCCAGCCACGAGGTCGGGGACACCAGATGAATGAGTCAAGCCCTGGCTTCAAGGGGCTCCCATGCTGGGACCAGAGGAGGCCGTGCCAGGGCCAGCAGCCACCTAGCTGAGGACAATGGCGAGACAAACAGGACAGGGAGATGCGGCTAATGCTGCCTGGGACGGGGGACGCTTCGCAGGGGAAGGACTTGTGGCCGGCCAGTCCTGCCATCGCCAGACCCACGCAACTCCAGCAGCTTTTCTCTTTCTCCCTCTGTCTTCCAGGTGTCAGTGACAGTGAGGAGCTAAGTGGCCTGCAGGTCCTGGATGCAGACACCTTTGCCTTCTGCTGCACCTCGGGCCGGCTGGGGCTCGCTGACACCCGCCGGAAGTGGGCGCCCTCACAGACCGGCAGTCCCGGCTCCGGGCCTGGTGGAGGGCAGTGGTGTGCGGAGGTCAGGGGCAAGGCCCCGGGCCCTGGACCCAACATCGCCAGCCTTTGCTCAGATGGGCAGCTCCGTCTTCTGGACCCCCGCGACCTCAGCCATCCTGTGCGCTCAGTCCAGTGCCCCGTGTCCACACCCAGCCCTGACCCAGAGCTGCTGCGGGTGACTTGGGCCCCAGGCCTGGACAGCTGCCTGGCCGTTTCAGGTGCTGCCGAGCAGGACTTCACGTGTGTTATTTGAGCTTTCTCTCCCAGGGCTCCTCAGGGGCAGGCCTCCCCCATTCTGGCTGCTGCACCCTCACACACGGTAGCAGGCTTCCCTTTCCTAGCAGGAGTCGGTTCTGAGGTTGGTCAGGAGGCCTAGGGAGACAATGGGACAGCCACGGGCTGCACCGGGATCAGGTGATGGGGTCACACGGGGTCTCTCAGTGTCCTTGCTTTTTGAATTACAGCAAGCCCCTCGGGCAGCAGGCTGCTGGGCCCGTGTCTGGTTTAGTGGGGGTTTTAATGAGGGTAATCCAGAGGCCAGTGGGAAGCATCCGCTGAGGGGCAGGGAGGTTGAAAGACTAGTCGAAAGAGCAAGAAAGGATCATTGATAATGGCAGGATGCAGAAAGACTGGAAGAACTGAGCCTGGGTGGAGGGACCATCTTCTAAAGACAGCCGGGTGGCGTGAGTGTGGGTAAAACTAGGTCACGGGGAGCTGAGGATGTCCCTCTAAAGGTGTCTCTTTCCCCGTCAGGTGGGACACAGGGCCATCTGCGGAGGGAGACTCAGATGGGCTGGAATTTGGGGCAAATGGGAAAGGTCTGAAAAAGTCTCTTAAGCCTCAGGCTCCTGGGGTGAAGACTCGTACCTACTTCATACAGTTGTGAACACTGGAACGTTTGTCCAGGATTAGCCTCAGGCCTGGCACCTGAGAGCTGCACGGCCGACTGTGGTCCTCACCTGCCCCTGCAGCCGGTGCCCCATGCCCCCGGCTCCCGCCAGGGACCTCGTTCGCCGCTAGGTTCCTCCCCCAGGGCCTGTTTCGGTTCCATGGCACCAACTATACGAACTGCTTCAGAGATTCAGTGTCAGCCTTCTCGTTTCTTGTTCTTCCTCAGGTTTTGATGGGACAGTGCAGGTCCATGACGTCACGTCTTGGGACGGAACGGAGGACCGAGCAGAACCTGTCTTCACTCACAGGGGTCACATCTTCCTGGATGGGGACGGGACAGACCCTGCTCCGCTGGTCACCACCCACACCTGGCACCCCCACAAACCAAGGACCTTGTTATCAGCGGCGAGTGACGCCTCCCTGCACGTGTGGGACTGGGTGGACCTCCGCGGCCCCCACTGACACCAGCGTCCTTCTGCCAGGCCTCTGGGAGGGACCTGCCGGATGTACCTCGAGGGCACTGATTTATTTGGGACTCAGGTGACCGCGGGTCCCTGTTCACAGCTGAGGGACCTTGGGCCGGTGTGGCAGCCCCTCGTGGCCTCGGTGTCTTTGTTGGTGAAGTGAGAAGAGTAGTAACTACCTCGTGGGGTTGTTGGGGAAGTTAGGAGAAGTTTATGGAAAAGCACCAAGTAGGATGCTTGATGTAAAGATTTGGTGGCTGTCCATAGATCTGGGGACTTGGGGGCGACGGGATTCTGCTGCCTCCAGCCGGTTTAAACCCTGAAGGGTTTGGGCACGAGACGCCTGCCCAACTGTGGGGACATCCCCAGCAGTCACGCCGACCTCGCACTGTTGTCCTTCCCCGTGTGCCGGCTCTGCCGCCCACCCCCATGCAGCCTGGCGCCCAGCGCTCTGTCCGGCCGGGAGGCTGATGTGACACCGTGACGGAGACACTTGTGTCGGAGCCGGACAGAACAGGACCCCTGTTCATTCTCCTCTGTGACGTGGGCCTGTCACTGCAGCACCTGGCAGAGTGGCTGTTGGTGATCTGTGACATTGCAAAAATTCAAGTTGTTTCACTGGGATATCGGTGGTTTTATAAATGTTTTCAGTTTTGTCTACATTCGCCAGTAGCAGGTCGCAGCTGAGGTGGGGGGCACTGAAGTTGAAACTGACTTTCGAGGATCTCACCACAGGAGAGCGTGGGAAACCCAGTCGGTTTTCCAGGTCGGAATCTTGGACTCCACCTGCCTCTTGCCCTGTCTGTCTGTCTGTCTCCATGAGGAGAGCCGAGTTGACAAAATGTACTGAGTTCCTGTCATACCCAAGCCCTGAGCTGGGTGCCGGAGAAGAGCTGGGGACCTGAGTGTGGGCGTGAACATAAAAACAAGACTCATGGGGGGAGGGGGTGGGGCAGGGCCCCGGCACTGCAGTTGGACCCGGGCGTGTGGTGGGTGGGGCCACAAAAGGGAGGGGGGAGTCACGGAGGAGTTGATGGGAAGCTTCTAGTGAAACTTGATATATCAAGACGGGCCTCGGGACTTCCTGTTCACCGCCTTCCCGTAGAGCTAGCACTGATGGAATTAGAGATGGGGGTCTCACGGTCGGTGTGGTGCGGCTTAGCAGCGACGGCCTTGGTGTAAGTCCGGAACCCCCCCCGCCCCGTGTGGTTTAGTTGATCTGCATGGTGAAGAGTCAGGAGGCCACCCAGCTCTCAGGCAAAGCTTCTGCTCCCAGTCCAGGCTGGCAGCCGGGCAGAGCTGGCCCGGGACTCTGCAGAGGTGTGAGCACGGGGCACACACACAGGTCCGGGCTCACCCAGGAGTGTGTGCTTCAAAGCAACTGATTTTTCTCCCAGAAGGCCTTCAGCCATTTTCAGCCTGGGACAGGAGGTGGGACAATGATGTGAGGTGTGGGTTTGCTACCGACAGTCAAGTTTGGGTTTTTTGGACACACGTTGAAAGACTGTCAAGCCCTGGCTCGGTTGGAGCGTCGTCCCATAAACCAGATGGTCAGGGTGCACGACAGGCAGCCGGTCAGTGTTTCTCTCCCTCCCACGTCCTCTCTAAAATCAGTGTGTCCTCAGATGAGGATAAAAAAATAAGCAGTAAATAAATAACAGAGTCAGGAAAAGAATAGATTCTACTTTATTAGGGAACACCAAGCATCCACCCTGTAAGAACCAAGGCCCATTCTGAGCAGACCCCCGTGTGGGAAGAGGCCGTTTGGCATTTCCCAGAAACACCGTATCTGCTCTTTTCATAACAAACCCTTCCACCTGCTCTCATCGCCATCTTGTCTGTTTCAAGGCTCAAGGACCCACACACAAGGCCCCGCTGGCACCCTAAAACCAAGGGCGACCTCTGTAGGACAAATGATTCAAGCCCAGAGCTCCCCTGGGAACAGATGAGGAACGTGTCCTCAAAATCCAGACCTCCTTAAAAATAACATTCACAGTACAAAAGCTACTGGACAGAAGTCTGGCTCTGCATGTGTAAGAGCGTTTTTTAAAAAATGAATGGGCAACTGCCAGGTGTGTAGTGATGGCTACAGAGCACTGTGTCTGTGGGGTAAAGACCCAGCCCACCCTGCAGATGAGGGAGCTGGGGGCAGGGTCTCTGCCTTCACTCTAAAAAAACCAAGCCCCACAAAAACTTGTGCGTGCCCCTGGCAGCCAACTTACCACAGGACAACAGCAGACAAGCAAACGTCAACCTCGTCTGTGTCTCCCCCCCAGGCCCTGCCCAACTATCAGTGAGGTTATTGGGACACTGGTTCCAGGACCTACCCCATGGTCGGTGTTCCTGACACTTTCCAGAAAAGAGAAAAAGAGTTGACCTTCATGTGGTGACTCAGAATTGAAGAAGCCTCCCCACGTTGACCTGAAATCAAAGCCCAGAACAAACACACAGGCAAGGGGCCTGGGATGCAGGCACCTCAGCCTGGCACAGCCGCAGCCCAGACACCGGCTGCACTGGCAGATCTGCATTTCTCCGGGGACTCGGCGGGGTGCGGGCCAGGCTGTCTTGCCTTCCACCACTGCCGAGTCCCACTAAAGAGGATCTGGACCCAGAGGGACCAGGAGAGGGAGCCAATCAAGCCGTGAAGCAGAAGATGACCAGCTCCCCTACCTTCCAGCCCAGCTGTTCTTGGGGTTTGGCTCCAACCACTGAGACAATGGGATCCTAGGAAGAAGGACGAGCAGGCGGTTCTGGCACAAACCCGCAAAGACCACTCAAGAACGGCTCTTCTACCTAATGAGACGTCCCTACGTGGGGGTGTTGTGACTGTTCCCCCTCCTGGGCCAGCCCCTTCACTGACCCTCTCCGCCACATCAATAAAGTTTCTCTTTCATGTGCGTTCTCTGGTGTGTGATGAAGTTGGAGCTGTTGCTGAAGCCTTTGCCACACTCGGGGCACTTGTAGGGCTTCTCCCCGGTGTGGATTCGCTGGTGTATGATGAGAACCGAATTCCAGCTGAAGCCCTTGCCACATTCGGGGCATCTGTAGGGTTTGTCCCCCAAGTGCGCCCTCTGGTGCATGACCAGGATGGAGCCTCGGCTGAAGCTCTTGCCGCACATGAGGCACTCGTAGGGCTTCTCGCCCGTGTGGGTCCGCTGGTGCACCACCAGCTGGGAGCGCTGGCTGAAGCACTTCCCGCACTCGCCGCACTTGTAGGGCTTCTCGCCGGTGTGGATCCTCTGGTGCTTGATGAGGTTGGAGCTCCAGCTGAAGCTCTCCCCGCAGGTCAGGCACTCGTAGGGCTTCTCGCCCGTGTGCACTCCCTGGTGGGCGATCAGGCTGGAGCTCTGGCTGAAGCTCTTCCCGCACTCCCCGCACTTGTAGGGCTTCTCCACCAGGTGGGTCCTGCGGTGCGTGGCCAGGTTGGAGCTGCGGCTGAAGCTCTTCCCGCACTCTCCGCACTGATAGGGCTTCTCCCCCGTGTGCGTCCGCCGGTGTGTGATGAGGGCCGAGCTCTGGCTGAACCTCTGCCCACAGTCGGAACATTTGTACGGCTTCTCCCCCGTGTGGATCCTCTGGTGCCTGATCAGGTTGGAGTTGTAGGTGAAGGTTTCGCCGCATTCTTTACACTCGTAGGGCTTCTCTCCGGTGTGGATTCCCTGATGTGTGTTAAGGGTGGACCGATTGCCGAAGCTCTTGCCACACTCCGGGCACGAGTAGGGCTTCTCGCCGGTATGGGTTCGCTGGTGCGCGATGAGGTTGGGGCTCCTGCTGAAGCTCTTGCCACACTCGGCGCACTGAAAGGGCTTTTCGCCCGTGTGAATCCTCTGGTGGGTTATGAGGTTGGCGCTCCGGCTAAAACTTTTCCCACAATCCCTGCATTTATAAGGCTTCTCCCCAGTGTGAGTCGTTTGGTGTCGGCTGAAGTTTGAACCGTCACTAAAGCTTTTCCCACATTCGTCACATTTGTAGTATTTCTCTCCCGTGTGGGTGCGCTCGTGCGTGACGAGGTGGGATTTCCGGCTGAAGGTCTTGCCGCACTGGGGACACTCGTAGGGCTTCTCGCCTAGGTAGGTGCCCTGAAGGCCGATGAGCTGCCCGGCCCCCCGACGCTGCGCTGGCAGCTCCCTGGGGTCCTTACCTGGGGCCTTTCTCCGGGGCCCCCGGGAGCCGCAGCCCCTCTCAAAGTCACTTTCCCAGCCGGACCGCTGACCGCCTTCCCCCTCCGGCATTTCTGAGAAGATCTCACTCGACTCCCCGTCCTCAAATATGTCTTGATTGGAGTTCTCCCCATTTTCACTCTGGATTTCAAAATCTGGAAGAATGAAGGAAAACATAGTTTATACTCAATTCCCTGTAATGATGAGAACAGGAAACCAAAGGAGAAATTTGGAAAATTTCAACTTGCAATGAAAATAAAGAGGCGAAACAGTCCTTGAAACTTTCAAAAAGTCAGTTTATTTCCTTCTAACTGGTTACCTAGTTACCAGGCCTCTCAAACTGTCTGGTACTCACCCGGGATATCTAAAGGCTTAAAGCTGTGGGTCTGTCTCTCCTGCTCCTCCCCTGGGCAGTGAGGGCAGGGGGGAACCGGGAGATCCGAGTCAAGGGGAAGGAATGGGGTGTTTACTGGAGCTTACAAAATAATCTCATGCATTAAAAATATGTCTCATGTTTATAATCTTCACTGGTGTGTGAGACACAGACCAGGACTCCAGCCACGAGGACTGTGGTGATCTCCCAGGCGACTGGGAACGAGGGAAGCAGCTACAAAAGCCCTCAGCTCTAGCTGCAGAAATCGCCCGCAGACAGACCTGCCAGAGCTTGGTCAAACCCTCTACTCTCAATTCTACGGAAAGAAATCACACCCCTTCCTCAGATCAGAGACTGATGAATCCACCCCAGGGTTAAGCCAGAGCTGCAGAAAGCCATGAACCTGGACCACACCGTTCTGACCCCAGCGGACGCCGTTCGCTGAACCGTGCATTTCAGTTTAATGGCCCTGGCCGACGGGGACACACTAAGGAGTGTCATTAAGTACCGAATGGCTGTCAGGAACATTAACGCTGCCAGGAAGTTGTTGACAACATTGTTTCTTGTTTCTGACACACAGTGTTCTCTTGATGGGCCCAAGGAGGAAGTCTCCTCCTGACGGTAACACCAGAGGGCAGCCCATTGGTGGACGGCTCCGCCTCCGCCCTGCCAGCCCAGCAGCTTGGAGCCAAACACTCAGAGAACACCGGATGTTTTACAGCGTGCAACCCGTGTTCTTGCTTTTCTTCTTCCCGTTATTTTCTTTCCTACTACAATTTCCTTGTGCACACTACCTGTAAGGTGTCTTAAATCCCTTTTCTTTAGTCTGTAGCACATACAAAGATACGTCGAGGATTTATTGATGAAGATGATAGACAGCCTGCTCACTCCTCAGACCTGGCATCAGACCCCCTGAGAAAGCCAATCTGTCCATGGCGGGGGAAGACAATTCACAAAATAATTACACACAGCCGTCCTGGCGTTTCCATTATTAAAGCTGACAAACTGTTTATTTACAGAAATGCTCAATTTAGTGATTAGTTTCTGTGACTTCATGTAAATTTTCACTTGTGCATGATAAAATTTGACGTGCATCCTTTAAAAAATATTTTTAAAAACTTTACTGATTTGAGAGAAAGCGAAACGTTGATTTGTTGTTCTACCCATTTATGCTTTTATTGACTGATTTATCGTATGTGCCCTGAGCCGGGATTGAACCCAGGACCTGGGACTGCTGGGACAACACTCTGAACTTCCCAGCCAGGGCCTCGATGTGCATCTTTCAGGAAGAACCTGGGTTCCACTTGTGCCTTCAGTCAAAACAAGATTGTTTTAAACTTGCAAAGAGGTGCGAGACTACATTATGTGCTCACGCTAACACATGCACTGCTGGTAATCTGTGAGCCTGAACGACTCCCCTCTGGGTCCTTCCTGTGGGTCTGGGGGGGGGGGGGGGGAGGGGCCAAGCTCCCCCCTGGCCAGGGCCAGCACATCTCGCGTTCCCCAGTTCCCTGCGACCGGGTTTTACAAGCTGCTAGCACAGAAGTGTGTTGTCCTATCCCTTCTGTAAATGTCCCTATGTAGGGACATTTGTTCTGTGTAGGGACATTAGCCATGAAAGGTTTCACTGGCTGAACATCAAAAGCCCTGGTATGTTCTGGCACGAGCTCAGAAGCAATGGGGAAAATGAGCAAAAACTCAAACTTGGTGTCAGTGAGATGAGGAAGAAAACTAACTTGCAGACACTAATGCACATAAGGGCTTCCAAAGACGGAGGAGGTGGGGCAGCAGCCAGTGAGGGCGGAAGGTGGGGAACAGTGTGCCGAGTGTGTGTGGGGAGGGACGGGACTCAGGGGAAGTTGATCTCAAAAACCTCAGGCAGAAAATCACTTTATAAAAAGACTTTGATAAAAAAAAAAAAAAGAGCCCTGGCTGGTGTAGCTCAGTGGATTGAGCGCGGGCCTGCGAACCAAAGGATCGCGGTTCGATTCCCAGTCAGCGCACATGCCTGGGTTGCAGGCCAGTTCCCAGCAGGGGACACATAAGAGGCAACCACACATTGATACATCTCTCCCTCTCTCCTTCCCTTCTCCTCTAAAGATAATAATTTTTTTTTTAATCTTTAAAAAATTATTTTAAAAGTAAAAGAAAGAAAAGAAAATCACTTCCCGAAGGGAAAGGCCTGCCTTCCAGTGCGGCGAGGCCTTTGGGGAACGGGGGCGCAGAGAAGCAAAGGAGGGGAGGCTCCATCCAGAACCGCACAGACCGGCGAGCGCCTCTGACTCTCGGACATTAATCATGAGAATTATTATTACTGTGGAGAAAAGTGAGCATTTTTCATCCACAAAAATAGCTACGCGCAGCAACCACCTCTGTGGTTGACCCCACCTCTGTGAAGACCGTGGAGCAGAACTTGAGGACGAGACGGTGAAACCATGAAATGTACATGAGCAAAACTAAACAAGGAGGGGAAAATCCAGAGAAATGAATGCAAACGGGGAGAAACACGAAGGGACACAGGCACCGTGGACACACAGAATCGGGGAGGAGGAGGAGCGGAGTGAGCAGAGCAGTGAGACTCAAGGTCACAGGCAAACAGCTCTGAACACACATAATTCCGTGGGATGCTGGTCCTGGGAGCCCTTCCTGAAGAAACCAGCAGGAGACCAATGTCAGCTGACTAAGAGAGAAGGGGCACTCGCCGGACTGGAGGTGAACACCCGACAATATGAATTCCGAGCAGAGGTCCAAAACAGCCGTGGCAATGAGGGTGTTAAAAGGCACTGTAAATGTTACACGGCCGTGTAGAAATGATACTCTAATCAAAATCGGGGTTGGGAGGGGGAAGAAGATGGCATATAGGACGTTTCAAATGGACAAGTCACGTAACGGAAGTTTAAGTTCAGTTACCAACTGAACTGAGAGCACAAAATAAACATGAGGATAAAATTACTACAAGAGATTACTATGGAGAACAGTATGGAGGCGCCTCCCAGCAGGAGCATTTTGCTGGGGCAGCAAGTTCAAAGTCAGTAAACCCTGGCTGCCTTGTGCCAGAAAGCCGGGTCATGCCGGGGATGGCTGGGGGCCTCAGCTGTGCCCCTTCGGTTCGCCCGTGGGAAAAGAGCAAGTCTGAAGATGACAATCTCCATTTCTCTACAGATAAAAGAAAGAAAAAGAGGTTCTCTGCCTTCTGGAATTTTATAGATTTCTAGAAAAAAAAATATGACATGTATTCAAAGAAATAGAAAAGATGGAATATGATTAAAAGCCAGGAGAGAAGACCCATCAAAAGGCGTGGGCAGGAGACTTCCGGCAGAGGTGGTCCAAGGCCCTCCCATGTGGGTGCAGGGGGAACAGGGGAAAGTGACCCAAGTGGGGATGGCTTCGTGGAGTAGGTCACCCAGGGTGTACAGCCCAAGGGCAACCAGGCTGTTCTCACACAGGGTTGGGACGAAGCCATTCCAAGCCATTATTCAGGAGCACAGGTGAACGCCAGAAAGCACAGGCGTGTTCAAAGAAGCCACGAGACCAGGTCCGAATGGAGCAGGCACAGGGGCTGCAGCAAGAGGACCAGCTGGCCGCAGGGCCGCCTAAGCCAGGTCTCACAGGGCCACAGGCTCCGAGCAGAACAAGGAGGTCACAGCTGATTTAAAGACACCGTGGAACTTGCAAAGATCTGGAGACACGTGGGATCTCAGGAAGACTTTCCTGGAGAGTGATGGACCACTCAGGTAGGAGTGGAGTGGCTGCAATGACAGAGGCTGAAGGCAGGTCCCCTTCGGAAGCTGCCGCGAGAGTTCAGGTCGAATACCGAGACCCAGAATGAGGGCCAGAGACCGAAATGTGGGCAACACCAAGAGAGGAGCTTCATCCCTTAACCTATTAACAGAGGCCCGATTTCCACTGGTGGGGATACTGGGAGCACCCAGTGGTGCCTGCCAGTCAACCCCAAGCCACCTCGCCGGGTAGATGGGACCTTCCTCCGAGCAGCCATGAGGAAGGTCAGGGGTATGTCACACAAAGACCAACAAAGAGGACCTCCAAGGCAGGAGCTGGAGGACTGGAAACACCTCCTCTCCAGTGTCCTGGAGGGACCGGGACAGGAAGTCCCTGCACCACCTGAAGCGCCAGCTGAGACCTGACCTTCTTGCTTTGTGACCTCCCGGACCACACGACCCCTGAAGCCTCTGCTCAGCCCTCAGCCCCTCGCTCCTCCTTGCACTGACTGACTGCAGACGCTGCAATTCACGACAGACTCGTCCCACCCATCGGGAGGCAGGTAAACCAAGTGTTTACATAGGATGAGAAGTTTCTGTGTTTTTTTAAACAGGAAGAGTAAAATTAAAAGTTACTTTAGGACTTCCACCAAGAGGGAGGCATAGGTGGAGACGCCGTGCTTTCTCACACAACCAAGTTTTGAGACAACAAAATATTACCAACACAAAACACAGCCAGAACACAGAAAATTGAACTTTTCGGAAGTCTGATAACGAATGCTTCAGCCTGACCAGTAAGAGGGGCAAAACCAGCAGCTGGCGGAGCGGGGTTGCACAGGAAAACTCGGTCAGACGGACTCAGGTGTGCGGATCCCAGGCGTGGGGTTACAAAGGGCCAACCCAGTGAGCCACCGGTGGATCTGGCGAGGGTGAAGGGCGGCGGGTTGACTGTGCTGGTGCATTCCTGCGCAGATAGACCAGTGAGGGAGAGGGCAGTGAGACGGGACCTAGTGGGTCCCAGCGAAGGGAGGCAGCAGAGGGGACCGCCATTTCCCCACTGTGACCCCGAGACCACATACAGCATCACAACCCAGTGACCCTGCCCTGGAGGCCCTGCCCCGCCCCTAAGGCTTAGCTCCTCATACTTAATAGGCGCGAACAGACCAAAAATGGCTCAAGAAGATCTCAAAGCCCCAAAGCCCATAAATCTAAGTGACGAAGAAATAGTAAAACTTCCAGATGCTCAGTTCAAAACACTGGTGATCAGGATGCTCAGAGAACTGGTTGATTTTAGTCACAAATTAGAGGAACATATGAAGGCTAGACTAATTGAAATGAATGGCAATGCACAGGAAACCAACAGTAATGGAAAGGAAACAGGAGTAGACCAGAGGGAGGATAAAAATGACCAAACAGAAAAGAACGAAGAATCAAGAATTCAAAAAAGTGAGGAGAGACTTAGGAACCTCAAGGACATCTTTAAACGCTCCAACATCCGAATTATAGGGGTACCAGAAGGGGGAAAGGAACAGCCACCAATGGAAAACTTATTTGAACAAATAATAAAGGAGAAGTTCCCAAATCTGGCAAAGGAAATAGACTTCCAGGAAATCCAGGAAGCTCAGAGAGTCCCAAAGAAGTTGGACCCAAGAAGAAACACACCAAGTCACACCATACTTACATTAGCCAAGATTCAAATGAAGGAGAGAATCCTGGAAGTAGCAAGAGCTAAGGGGACAGTCACCTACAAAGGAGTTCCCATCAGACTGTCAGCAGATTTCTCAAAAGAGACCTTACAGGCAAGAAGGGGCTGGAAAGAGGTATTCCAAGTCATGAAATCCAAAGACCTACAACCAAGATTGCTCTATCTAGGAAAACTTTCATTTAGAATGGAAGGGCAGATAAAGTGCGTCTCAGATAAGACCAAATTCAAGGAGTTCACCATCGCCAAGCCCTTATTATATGAAATGTTAAAGGGACTTATCTAAGATAAAAAAGATGAACAGTGAAAGGACAGCAAACGCACAGTTATTAGCAACCACATCTAAAACAAAAGCAAGCTAAAAGGACAGCTAGATCAGGAGCAGAACCATAGAAATGAAGATCACATGGTGGGTTAGCAACAGGGGAGTGGGAGGAGGAGAGGGGGGAGAAGGTACAGAGACTAAGTAGCATAGACGATAGGTAGAAAATAGATAGGGGAGAGGGCAAGAATAGTAGGGGAAATATAGAATCCAAAGAACTTGAAACACATGGTCATAAACTAAAGGGGGGGAATGGTAGGGGTGGGGGGGTGCAGGGTAGAAGGGAATGAAGGGGGGAATAGAACAACTGTAATGGCATAATCAATAAAATAAAAAAATTTTTTTTAAGTTACTTTAAAAAAAGATTTTATTTTATTTCTTTTTAGAGAGAGGGCAGGGAGGGAGAAAGGGAGAGGCACATCCATGTGCAAGGGAAACATCAATCAGTAGCCTCTCACGCGCCCCCAAGTCAGGAACCTGGCCTGCAACCCAGGCATGTGCCCTGACTGGGAATCGAACCAGTGACCGTTCAGTTGGCGGGAAGAACATCTAACCTACCAAGCCACACCAGTCAGGGCTACAAGTTACTTTTCAAGGCCGAAGAAAATCAGGTACTTTGCTTCAGAGAAAACCTAGGATCTACCCCACACACGTGGAAGCAAACAGACTGGATTTTCGGTCCTGCCTCCACCACTTAGCCACTGTGTGACCTCAAGTGAGGGCTGACCTTGCTGCGTTTCCCCGTCCTCACCTGCACAGTGACAGCCGACCCACAAGACTGTTAGTGAGAGGGGCAGGGAAGGTGCCCACCGCAGGGCCGGGCTCACGGGAGGCCCTGAGTGGCAGTCCCTGTCTCCAAAAGACGGCTTTAGTCCTCTCCCTCAAGTCCCCGAAGGCTGCCACAACCTCTGCCCTTCCCTTTCTTCTCTTCCCAGTTCTCCGGCTTCTCTGGACTAGATGCCTCTGAGTGAGTGACCTCTGCCTCAGGCCTCGTCAACACCCTCCTGGGAACGACCACGCTGCATTACAGAGAAAGTGAGTTCCACGCTCAGGGCCAGGAGTTTGAATCTCGGCCCCATATGACCGTGACGGGAGTCACCGAACTTCTCTCACTTAACTGGCAGGGCAGTGAAGTGATGCGAATTTCGCCTTCTCCCCAGGTGGTGGCTTCCATGAGTTCTGCACATCACGTGCTAGGCACACTGTCTAGCCCACAGAGAGGGTCTGATAAGTGCCAGCTATTGGGACCGAGTTCTTCCTCCCAGGCATCCAGTCTCCTCCCTTCGCCCCGCTGTCCCCACCTTGACCCCACCCCTGTACAGCTGGTGTCTAAGTGGCTTCCTGGCTGATCTCCTGCCTCCAGCCTCTCCCTACTCTAATCAAACCCACATCCTGTTGCCCAACTCAGCTTCCTCCCCTGCCCCTTGGGCCCCAGTTCAAGAACCTGCCGAGGCCAATGACAGACAGTCCAAGCCTCCACCCACCCTTCCCCCCAAACTCTACTTCCTACCACTCCCTCAACACACACGTTCCACTCCATCAGCCAGCCTTTCTGTCACCTGAGCCAGGGCCCACCAGGTCCCCCTTCCAAGCCTCTGCTTAGTAGCAGCACAGCTGCGCTCGGAGGCCGCCCCTCTGTCTGCCCCCCACTTTTCCAAACTCTACCCCTGCCTGCAACTCTGCTCAGGGTGCAGAAGCCTCTCCACAAAGCCTCTCTGACCTCTCCTGCTGTGTTCTCACTGCCCACAGGTCCTGAGGCCGTCCCGGGGCGAGATGGAAGCAAATACCTGGGACTCACGAGAGTCCAGTTTATGAGTGAAGAGCAGGATGGAAGCACACAGTTCGGGGGCGTGCCTGCGTGCCGCTGTTTATCAACACCATGGGGACCCACGTGCTAACTGCTGCAAAGGACCCGAGTTCGTAATTCCTCTTTTAAGATACATCACGACTTTGTGCTACAAAAAATCTCTAGTTATCTATCAGCTGGTTTACATGTCATTCATCTCCGTTTCATAAAAATAATCCCTTGTGTGAAACCAGGATTCGTTTTTCCGAACTGCCAGAACCTCAAACGTTTGGATGTCTACCTATTGCACATCCAAGTAAAGGTGCCAAGAAGTGACTTACAGGGGCTTCGGCCCTTCCCCCAAACCTCCGTCAGCTTCCTAACACTTCAGAGGAACGCAGAAGTAAAAACCATGCTTACTATGTAAATACACTTCCAAGAATATTCCTCTAAGTCCCTGCTAGACTGAAATTCTGGAATTGTCATTGCACCCCAGGGACTTGAAATAGGTGACAGCGTGCTGATTTTCCAGATAGTGGAGCGGCACGGGGCGGTCCCGAACTCTGTCCTGGACACCACCTTCTCCTCCTCCACCGTGGAGGGAGGCCGCCCCACCCTCCCTGGGAGTTTTGGCGTCTCACCACTGTCCTGAAGGGTCTGGGTCAAGTCTTCCATCAGAGCTACTGCCTCCTCGCTGCTCTCCGGCCTGTGCTCCTGCAGCCAAGCCTGAATTTCCCTTGGCATCACGGTCAGCATCTGTTCCTTGGTGTGCATCTCTGGCCGCAGCCAGCGCCGGCAGAGCTCCCGCAGGCGGCCGAGGGCGCCCTGTGGCCCTCCGACCACCTCCTCGCAGGGGCTGCCCTTGTCAGTGCTCTGGAGAAAGGGCTCGGGCTCAGGGCCATCCTCCTGCAGCACAGCCTCCTGTACCCAAGAGTCATCCTCCAGGGTCATGGTGGTGACCTCCTCCTCCTGTTCGTCTTCCTCTGGGGGTCCCTGGACCGTGGGGCTCAGGGGAGGGGCTGCTCTCGGCACCTCCGCAGCCATCACCCGCGTCCTTGGGGCAATCACTCAGGCTTCTCCAGCCAAGCTCTCTGAGAAGACGCCTCCCTCCTCAAATTTCAACAAGTAGCCTGGCAGAGAAATGAAAAAGAGAATGAGAAGCATTAAGTAGACTGTTCTAAAATGATCTCACTCAAGCAGCCTGAGTCGGACCCCCGAGGGGTTCTCACACCCACAAATCAGCACAAGGTTCCTGTCCCTCTTAAAGGAAAGATGGCTTATTCCTGAAAACCCATCCCTAGAGCAAGAGAAGTTAAGAAGAATCATAAACACAACATATACAGCATTTTTCTTTCCAAAAGGCCGAAGCATTGATTGATTGAGTCCGAGAAATTCAAAGCCCTTGCAGGAATCCAGGACTGAGTTTTCCTGCCCTACATCAGCGATCCTGACCTAACACACTCAGCCTCTCTGACCACCGCTAAGTAGAGGTACCAACATCCATCTTTCTTACTTTACGAGGACACCTTAGGGATTAGCGATGGGTCACACGTCAAGATACTTTGAGCCTCATTAGAAAGAAGGCGACATCTCAACTGAGTTATTATCCTATTTCAAGGTATGAAGTTTTTTGGTTTTTTAAAAATTATTTATTTTTATTGATTATGCCATTACAGTTGTTCTATTCCCCCCTTCATTCCCCTCCACCCTACCCCCCCATCCCCACCATTACCCCCCTTTAGTTTATGACCATGTGTCTCAAGTTCTTTAGATTCTATATTTCCCATACTATTCTTGTCCCCCCATCTATTTTCTATCTACTGTCTATGCTTATCTTCTGTACCTTCTCCCCCTTCTCCTCCTTCCACTCCCCTGTTGCTAACCCTCCTTGAGATCTTCATTTCTATGTTTCCAGTCCTGATCTAGCTGTCCTTTTAGTTTGCTTTTGTTTTAGGTGTGGTTGTTGATAACTGAGTTTGCTGTCCTTTCACTGTTCATGTTTTTTTAACTTCTTTTTCTTAGATAAGTCCCTTTAGCATTTCATATAATAAGGGCTTGGTGATGATGAACTCCTTGAATTTGATCTTATCTGAGAAGCACTTTATCTGTCCTTCCATTCTAAATGAAAGTTTTCCTGGATAGAGCAATCTTGGTTGTAGGTCTTTGGATTTCATGACTTGGAATACCTTTTTCCAGCCCCTTCTTGCCTGTAAGGTCTCTTTTGAGAAATCCGCTGAGTCTGATGGGAACTCCTTTGTAGGTGACTGTCCCCTTAGCTCTTGCTGCTTCTAGGATTCTCTCCTTCATTTGAATCTTGGCTAATGTAATGATGATGTGGCTTGGTGTGTTTCTTCTTGGGTCCAACTTCTTTGGGACTCTCTGAGCTTCCTGGATTTCCTGGAAGTCTATTTCCTTTGCCAGATTTGGGAAATTCTCCTTTATTATTTGTTCAAATAAGTTTTCCACTGGTGGCTGTTCGTTTCCCCCTTCTGGTACCCCTATAATTCGGATGTTGGAGCGTTTAAAGATGTCCTGGAGGTTCCTAAGACTCTCCTCATTTCTTTGAATTCTTGCTTCCTGACTCTTTTCTGTTTGGCCATTATTTGCTTTCTTCTGGTCCACTCCATTGATTTGAGTCCCAGTTTCCTTTTCATTGCTATTGGTTTCCTGTGCGATTCCATTAGTTTCTATTAGTTTCGCCTTCATATATTTGTCTAATTTGTGGCTATAATCAACCAATTCTGTGAGGATCCTGATCACCAGTGTTTTAAACTGTGCGTCTGAGAGTTGCGCTATTTCTTCATCACTTAGATTTATAGGCTCTGGGGCCTTGAGATCTTCTTGAGCTATTTTTGGTCTGTTCACGCCCGTTAAGTACGAGGAGGGGAGCCTTGGACTCCCAGGTCGCTGGGTTGTGATGCTGTATGTGGAGGTGTGGTCAGAGCGGGGAAATGGCGGCGCCCTCTGCTGCTGCTCGCCACTGGGGCCTGCTGGGTCCCGTCCAATCGCCCACTCCCTGGCTTGTCTATCCACACACAGATGCAAGACCACAGTCAACCCGCAGCCCTGCTCCCTTGCTGTTTCCCCGCGGTCTCTCGCTGAATTGCCCACCAGGTCCAACCCTGCGCCTGGATTCCGCGCGCCTGAGTCCGTCTGACCGAGTTTTCCTGTGCAACCCCGCTCTGCCAGCTGCTGGTTTTGCCCCTCTCACCGGTCAGGCTGAAGAATTTATTATCAGACTTCCGAAAAGTTCAATTTTCTGTGTTCTAGCTGTGATTTCTGTTGGTAATATTTAGTTGTCTCTAAACCTGGTTGTGTGAGGAAGCCCGGCGTCTCCACCTATGCCTCCATCTTGGCGGAAGTCTCAAGGTATGAAGTTTTAAAGTGTTCGTACTCTTTGACTCAGCCTTGGCTGCTCAGGAATCTATCTTTTATTTTTATTTTTTTAAATATATATTTTTAATCAATGTATGGTTACTTCTGGTACATCCCCTGCTAGGAACTGGCCTGCAACCCAGGCATGTGCTGTGACGGGGAATCGAACCGCAATCCTGTGGTTCACAGGCCTGCACTCAACCCACTGAGCTACACCAGCCAGGGCCAGGAATCTATCTTTTGAAATAACCATCTTTGCAAAGAGAAATTTATACACAAGGATGTCCAACCATAGCATTCTTTCTAATCGCAAAAACAAACAAAAAAAAATTGAAATATTACAAATCCAGCAGCAGAAAAATGGTTAAAAAATTATGGGACATCTACAAAGTAAAATGTATTAAAAACTATGTTGAGGCCCTGGCTGGTGTAGCTCAGTGGATTGAGCACGGGCCTGTGAACCAAAAGGTTGCTGGTTCAATTCCCAGTCAGGGCATGTCTGTCTCTCTCCTTTCCTTCTCCAGTGTCTAAAAATAAATAAATAAAATCTTAAAAAAAAAAACAAACCTATGTTGATATAAAAATGCCTACCTATGACCAAGAAGGGGCTCAGTTCTGTATCTTAATTTGACAGTAGTTGCACAAGAGCATATATATGAAATTTAAGATTTGTGCATTCTGCTAAAAGTACTTGGAAATATTTTAAAATTATGATGACAAAGATCATCAATCCTTAAGTATTTAAGGTAATCCTCATAATATGAAAATTAAGAATAAAAATAAGACCAGCAAGGCCTTAAAACCATAGATAACAGTATGACCCCAATACCCTTTAAAAATGAACATACGCGAGAAAAACAAAAAAAGGGGGGGGGTCTGAACGGAAATTCTACAACATGTTGAGGTCAATGAAATTACAAATTATTTTAAGGCTATAAAAGCAATGAAAACTCATTTTAAAAGATCATTATTGTATCATAAAGACGCAGATAGCAGTTCCCTCTCCACAAAAAAAAAGGGAGAGAAGGAAAAACTTTAATTTAGACAACAAAATAGAAATACTAGTGGGAAAACTGAAGTTCCCAATGTGTATTCACGGATACTAGAAGAAACACAGGGATAACAACTCTTACTTAGGAGCCCGGGTAAACTGTTTCTAGTAAGCAATTAATTTTCTGTGTGACCAGGGGCAAGACACTCCCCCTCTAAGCTCAGTTTCCCCGTGTAAAATGAGGAGCTGAGCGGCGTGTCGTCCAGTGTGCTTCCGTCCAAACCCTGCGCCTCCCCTAGGGTTGAATGTGCCAGGAGCTCATCGCTGGGAGAAGAGCCTGGGTGCGCTCGTTGAGCAAACCAGCGCGTAAACCGGGACTGCCCAGGTCCCCCTGGCCACGGACAGCGCCCCTGATGCCCCTCCCCCAGTGGGCTGCCAGCAGTGGCTCCAGGCCCGTTATTCCCACGCCTCGTGCTACTCCTGTGGGCCGCGAGGCTCCAGGACTGCATCTCCAGGCTCACCTCTCCGGAGACCAGATACTGTACTGGCGGCGGCTTCGCATGCAAAAGCACCCCGTCCAGGGACCGGCCCCTCCGGAGTCAAGACTGCTCGGTGGAGAGGCAAAGAGAACAATGGAGGGTAGAGGCCCGCCCCCAACCATTCTCATTGGCTGCGGAGAAAGGCCCCTGGAGCTCTGCTTTTCTATTGGCGAATACATCTCCCAGCCCAAGGCGGGAAAAGAGGCTGGACCGAAGGCATTGTGGGAGTTGTAGTCCATCCACTCACACCATCTGGGTTGCGCGTCTGAGAGCGGAGTTTGGGGTCGATAGCTTGGGCAGCTTCCGAGGGCCAGAGCAGAAAAGTTGCGGACTGGCCATCAGGACCCCAGTGTCGGCTAGAACTGTGGCCTAGAACAGGTCAGTCATTACACTTCTTTAAGGCTTCTATATATTCATTTATAAAAAGTGAAAGTTAGGCAGAGGGGCTTGAAGGTCCTCTTCAGCTATTGTTAGGCCCCTGGACGACCAAAAGCAGTCCCGGAGGAGGAAAGGCATCTGAATAGTAAAAGCCCTCTGTCGCCGGAGCCCATCACCACTCCCCCAACATGCAGGTGCACCTGGCCTTTGCACACACCTTTATTTTTGCACGTGGCATTCCTGTGTTTTGAAGGAAAGACCTGTCTTGCCTCTTCTGACAGGAACTCCCATTCTTTCGTCTGTCTCCACCAGCAGCTTACCAGGCAGAAACACCGTCCTCCACGCACCTTTATTCTCTCCCTGTTGTCAACACTGAAAGATGAGAGTGGAAAGTAGGCCTCTATCGAGGTGTTCCCATGCTTAGCTTTCTTAAAGAAGAGACTTCCTCGATGCTGGATGAGAAGTAAGTAACTGTGTGGAAATCCAAGGGGGAAAATATAAGAACGGAAGGAAAGAACTTCTTAAAAGATCGGTGATAGAACAATCCTGTATATTTGTACAGAGTAATAATTGGAGGTACACAGGAATGACTGCATTTACTGTTTTTTAATTTTAGTTTAAGTTTCACTTCATACAAATTTAATTTTCATTTCATGGATGTTTGAGAAATATTTTATGTTTACTGGGGATTTAAATCTTTTTTCTATGTACTGACTGGCTGTTCATATCTTCTTCCCTTTTTTGTATTGAATTTACCTATAAGAGCTTTTTGTATGCTAAGAAAATGATTCCTTTGTCACAGAAATTGCTACGATTTTTCAGTTTTTTTTTGTTTCCTTTTTGTTTTTTTAAACATAGAACTTTGACATTTTTATGACAATTTTGTCAACCTTGTCTTTTTATAGATTCTCAGATTTGTGTTATTCTTATGAAGTTCTCTGCACCACTCCAGACATTATTTGAATTTCACTTATTTTTCACTAATGATAACCTTTTTTTAACTAATCCAAGTTTAAAGATGCAAAGTGAGGTTCTGCGGTTTGTTCCTTCCTCCCTAGTAGTGTCTTAATTGATTTGCCCAAAGTGACTACATACAAACAGCGCCACCTCCAGGCCAGCCTGAGAAGTCTACACTGGCGGCCTGAATGCAGAATTCCCTATCACCTCTCTGGAAGTCAGCGTTCTAGGCGAGCAAGATATCCAAAATGTTTGAGTACGATAATTCTGGGGGGTGATCATGTACTAACAAAGATTTGTTTCTGCACATTCCCATCCTCAATTGGGATGTAAATGTACACAAAAGCAAAAGGATATTTGTTTGGGGTTGGGATACAGCTGAAACTTTCCAGCAGCCTAAGAGTGCATTTACCTCGGCTTCTGTTTATCCCAAACCAACCCTGGACCCCAAGAAACTGGCACTATCTCGTTACAGGAAAATCCTGGGGTGTCGGCCATCTCTGCCCTGTGCCTGATTCTCTAGGAAGTCGGTCCTGGCCGGTGTCCACTGTCCCAGTTTCAGACAGACAGGAAGTCATGCTTAAAACCATTTCCTGCCATAACCTGGTCCCTAAGCCAGTGCCCTAAGACCAGCCCAGGGCAGTGACCAAGCCTAGAAGCAGAGCGCCATTTGCTCTTGTGATTGATTCTTTTCTCCAAACCGGAGGGGTGACAGAGGCTCTGTTCTACCAGTGAGCAGTCGCGGTTAAAAGCTCCAGAGAACTACTCCGGCTAATTTAAGCAAAAGGGACTTCCTTAAAGAGTATCAGGAAACGCACAGAATCAGTGGGAGCTGAAGGATCAGGCCGGAGAAGCTGGGAACCAAGAAACAGAGTAAGGCCCCAAGAAGCACAGCAAAAATCTCTGAGCAGAAACACCCGGCCTGCCCACCCGTGAACCTGGTACCCGTGAGCCATGCCTGCTTGCCTGCCTTCCTCTCTGGGCTCCAAAGCAGGCAGGGAGCCTTCGGTGGCCTGAGCCGAAATCACATGCCCACCCCATGTGAAAAGAAGCTAAAGCAGAACTTTCCTTTTTAGAATGTTTTTTTTTACTCCTTAAGGCCACTATCTTTTTTTTTTTTTTAATGAATGGTTTGTACTTATTTAGTGTGACAGAGGGAGGCCCTTTGAACCTTGTGTTGCTCCTCAAGAGACACTAGCATTTCCTTTCCCAGACGTCCTGTGCCAGCCTGGGCTTCTCCAGCCCCTTCGCGCCAACAAGGAGAGTGGATTTACGACCTCTGTCCAGTTCCCACGCTTTGTTCTGAACTGCTCTATACGAGGATATTTCTGGGAAGACCAAGGGTGCTCTGGGCTGGACAGAATGCCTCAGGAGGCGCCCCCGTGTGAGGCGGTGCCTGCCAAGAGCGGCTCCAGGGGCGGCTGGAGAAGGTTTGTGTTTTAGAGCGAATCTAGCACGAGAAATTTCAATGTCCGCCAAGCTCTCACCAATAAAAAGAAATTATAAAGTTAGGGAGGGAAAAAGGAAAGAGAAGGAAGCAATTTAAATACACGCACACACGTGATCACACGCCATCTCTAGGCTGCTTAGTTCATAGGAAGAAAATCGTCACTGGATCCATTAGTTGACAATTGGAAAGAGAACATAAAAATCTTGTGACCTTCAGTGAAAGTTTGCAATACAGTTCGCTTGCAAAAGAGGCTTCAAGATGAGTTCCCTAACTAACTTGTCAAACGGGGTGCTGCTCCTAAGCTTCTCCTTTACACACTGAAGCCACTCACTATTGTTACCGAACAGAGGTCCAAGAGAGGGGCAATATTTGGCCCACCTAGGGACGCCAAAGACTGCTACAGAATAGGGGCCCCTCCCAAGGACGGAATACTAATATCTACTGGGCTCTTCTGTCTGCCACCAATTGGAAAGACATCTCTCAATGCCAGAGATTTGAGAAAAGGAAACGAAATGTTTGTTTAATGCTATTCAGGCCTAATGCCTCTATTAAAATATCAAAGTCCTTTAGGGTATACACCTACACACACAGCGCTCCCTTCTCCCGCTGACCCAACTCCGGGTACCGTAAATCAGGAAAAGAGGACACGTCCGTCCTTCCAGGCCGCTGGTATCGTCAGCTGTGTTGACCGTCAGGCAGGATCTCTAGTTAATCCAAAGTCATGTGGTACCTTCTCACAGTCCACTGGCAAGAGTTCTTTGTACCTATTTTTCCAGTCAAAGTCTCTCTTGCTTTCTAGGCCATGCGGCCAAAGGGAGCATCCCAAAGCCGCGTGGGCCTCTTCTACCAGAGCTGCAGGGATCTGCACTCTGGCCAAAACCGAATGGTTCTCCTTCCTCTTCACCACACAGAGAGGGGGTCCTTACTCTGCCCAAGACCGCATGGCTCTCCCTTCACCTGGCCAAGAGAGGACCCTCACTTTCCTGCAACCGCGTGGCTCTCCCGCAATGGCTGCCACGTCTGGGTTTAAATTTCTGCACCCATCCTCCTTTGCAGCCCCATTTCCGACTCCTCCTACAATCAGTTACACCTGCCAGGACTGTCCTATTATTGCAAGTTTACTGGGCTGCCATCATTAGTCTGGGCAGGTATGGCCCCCATGGCGTGGAGCCAATAAACTCCAAGCTCTCACGCAAGCGCTGTGACTCGGGAGCAGCCCCTAGTTACATCCTGGGTAGAAGCCACTCCCTTCTTCCGGGTTCAAAGCGTAGCCACAGCTACTTAACATATCTATGCAACCAGTTAAAGGCTATAGATATGTTAAATAATCATTCCAGAGGTTAGCTGCAAAACTGTTGCTATGCAAAACAGCTCTCAATGGCTCTGCTTCCTTTGTCCCTTCCCCCAACTAACACCTGGGTGGGGGGACATCTTAATATTTCCTGGACACCCTGAACTCTGGACCCCATTCCAAATCCCTTTCTGGGGCCCCCTTCTTGGCTGCACCCTGTTATACTATGAGATTTCCTGAGACCCAAGGCCTGGGAGGTAGAGGCAGTCCCCTGGGGGTGGTTTGGTGCCCTGAACTTTCCCCTAATGGGCTTTCACTACTGTGTGTTTGCTAATTCTCTTTCTCTCCTTCTCTGTCTTTCTCTCCTGCTCTCTCTCTCTTTCTCAGAAGCAACTTGAATTTTTTTTTAAGATTTTTATTTATAGACAGAGGGGAAGGGAGGGACAGAGAGGGAGAGAAACATCAACGTGTGGTTGCCTTTCACACGACCCCTACTGAGGGCTTGGCCAGCAACCCAGGCATGTACCCTGGCTGGGAATCGAACCGGCCACTGTTAGGTTAGGCCGGAATTAGATAAAATTAGCGGGGAGGACGAGGCAGGTACCAGACTGTCTCAGCAAGGGAGATAGAAAAGTACAGAAAGTACAAAGAGTGCTGAACAAGATAAACCGCCTTGTGCATGACCTTGTCCTTGCAGAAAAGTATCCATTGTTGCAAGCAGAGAACATAGCCATGTGTGTTCTCTCGGGATAGCCAATTGCTAACAGCTACGTCTGCTTCTGTATTTGCTTGCTTGCTCACCCCAATAAAAACCCCAGGCTGTAAGCGCCAGGCGCGACTCTCATCTGCAGCCATTTTGGCACTGTGTCTCCGGAGACACCCCGAGAGTTCGCCCCTGCACAGGTAAAACTTTGAAACTTTGGCCAATAAAGTTCCATCATAAACTCCTGAAGGCTTCCGACATTTGCTCGCATTGGGGTATGTTACACCATCCTCCGGTTCGCAGGCCCGTGTTCAATCCACTGAGCCACACACCAGCCAGGGCAACTTGAATTTTTTAAAATTATAAAACCAATGCACTCAGAAATCAGAAAGAAAAATAAAGACAAATTTGAACACACAGAATTTTAAATGTCTGCATACCAGAACAGGCCATAAGTGAGGTGAAATTAATTAATTAATTAATTAACTAATTAATTAACGACAAAACGGTGGAAATATTTGTAATACATTTTATAAACCAGGGGCCAATTTCTAATTTACTATGAGTTTATCCCAGTGAGCATAAAAAAAGACCAAAAACTTACCCTGGCTGGTGTAGCTCAGTGGATTGTGCGTGGGCCTGCGAACCAAAGAATCGAGGTTCAATTCCCAGTCAGGGCACATGCCTGGGTTGCAGGCCAGTTCCCAGAAGAGGACCCATGAGAAGCAACCAGACATTGATGTTTCTCTCCCTCTCTTCTTCCCTTTCCCTCTAAAGATAAGTAAATAAAATCTTAAAAAAGACCATGAACTCAATAGAAAAATGTCTGAAGGATAAGAATAAGTAGGTCACAGAGAGAAAGAGGGACAGAAGCTCAACCACAGTAATACTTTTTAAAATGCAAATCAAAGCAAATGTAGAGTGTTTGGAACATCTGTCCTTGGAATCCTAGTAGCTTTTAAAAAAATGAGGTTGATCTCTATACGCTAATAGAGAAAAATCTCCAGATGGGCAAACAAAACAAGGGTCAAACAGTGTGCATAAATGCATCGTACAGTACAATGTACAACAATGTACAACAATGCATTATACTTTTGTGAAAAAATGTAAAGGGAAGAAACAATATATATGCTAAGAGACACCTAATAAATCTTTCTTGTTGCATACACAAGGAAGTGTGAATGGTGATTAGCTTTATAAGGAGGGACTGAGAAACAGGATGGGACTTTTTTATTTTTAATTTTATAGTTTCCTAAAGGTTTGGATGTTTTCCCATGTGCATGCATTTACTTATTTATTTTTATTTTATTTTTTTTAAGATTTTATTTATTTATCTTTAGAGGGGAAGGGAAGGAGAGAGGGAGAGAAACATCAATGTATGGTTGCCTTTCATGTGTCCCCTGCTGGGAATTGGCCTGCAGGGAACTGGTCTGCAACCCAGGCATGTGCCCTGACTGGGAATTGAACCGCGATGGTCTGCTTCGCAGGCCTGTGCTCAATCCACTGAGCTACACCAGCCAGGGCTCTACTTATTTATTTTTAATATAATAATAATGGACTTGAAGAATTTTGTGATATTTCACCTGAAAATATTTTTTAAAGATTTCATTTATTTGTATTTAGAGAGGGGAAGTGAGAAAGATAGAGGAGGAAACATTGATGTATGGTTGCATGTGGTGAGCCCCTATTGGGACCCTGGGCTACAGCCCAGGCATGTGCTCTGACGAGGAATTGAACCTGCGACTCTTTGGTTTGGAGGCCGGCACTTAATCCACCAAGCTGCACCAGCCAGAACCATCTGAAAACGTTTGGTATTAGAAAAAAAGCCCTGATGGGAGTGTGGAGCAACAGGAACTCCCAGCCATTGCTGGTGGGAATGCAGAATACCAGAGGCTCTTTTACAAGACAGTTTGGCGGTTTCCTAAAAATGTGGACATATTCCCGCCATATGATCCAGCAATCATGCTCTTTGGCATGTACCCAGGGGAATCAAAAATCCGTGTCCACATTGAAAAATCTGCACACAAAACAAAAAAGCAAGGTAATAATACACACATATGCTTATTGTCAAAATTATGGAAAACACAGAAACCTTTAAAAAAGATAACAAAAATCTATGTATAACTTCAGTACCTAAATATAATCTCTGCTGTTGATGGGGTGGGTTTCCTTCCATTCTTTTTTCTACACATATGAGTGTAGCCAATATGAATTGTACCATAACGTCAGGATGCCTTCAGTTTTTTCCCTGAAAAGGAAACTAGCCCTATCCTCTAACTCGTGAATTAGCTAATAACCTTCTTGGAGCTCTCGGTTCTCCTGGACTGCCCAGAACCCTGGGGTTTCTGTGCCGCACAAAGGGGCCCGGTGGACGCACACCTAGGTGGGGAAACGTCCAAAGCATTCTTAAGCTCTGGACTGTGGCTCTTTCTGCAATTACTCCTGATTACCACAAGGTGTCACTCTCTGCACGTTCAAATCAATCGGACTCCGTAGGCCCGTCCTTTAGAACTTGAGACATTGGCCTGTTGAGTGCCTTGCAGGAAAAATGCCACCCCCACAGCATCAGCTAATGCAGAATCCCTTGACAATTCCCAAGGACTGCTTCTTAGTATCTTAAAGAGAGAGGAAGAGACAGAGGGAAAGGGAAGGAAGGGGAGAGAGAGAGAGAGAAACATCGCTCTCTTGTTCCACTCGTTCATGCCTTCATTGTTTGATTCTCATTTGTGCCCCTACTGGGGACCCAGCCACTGTGTTGGCATATTGGGGATGATGCTTTAACCCGCTGAGCCACCAGGCCAGGGCCTAAAACATTATCTTTAAGCATTGCCCATATTCAAGGCATGGGTTAATAGCTTATGATCTAGATTCTTGCAGTAGACAGGTTATTTTCCAGGTTAAATTCAATCAAGTTAAAAGGGTTAGGACAGGACTGACGGGTCGTAATTATGAATCATCAGGAAAAGCTAGAATTGGTACATATTGTCTTTCCTACTGAATCATGATACTGATGGTTTTTGACTCCGTACCCCAATATGTCCTTCCTTCCTTCCTTCCTTCCTTCCTTCCTTCCTTCCTTCCTTCCTTCCTTCCTTCCTTCCTCTTTCTCTCTCACCTTCCTTCCTCCTCCTCCCCTTCCTTCTCCTAGCAATGGCTTAATAAACCCTTTCTTTTAAAAAGAAAGAAAAGCTAGAATTACTTCTTATGCCTATAAAACATAAATATATTTATTTACATTTCCGAGTGTCCAATAAAACAAGTTATAGCCACACACTGCAGTCTGTCTGGGTTTTGTTGTTGTTCGCTTGTTTGTTTGTTTCTTTCTTTCTTTACTTGTTTTGCTACCTTAGAGTCTTCTCAAGTCTTTAAAACTTAAAGAGCCAGTGAGCTGTTGGGGAGTTCCTGAAGGTCAAACACTATTTTCATTCATTTCTAGCAATAAGTTCTCAGTTGACCTAAAACATTTGTGAAATTAAGCAGTTTCCCTAGCGGTGTGAAAGTTCCTATGCATCTGTAAGGGTATCGGGCAAGCCTCAAGAAGAACAGGAGAAGGGGAAGAATCTCCTCTAGGTGGGGCAGCCCAGGGCACAGAGGCCCAAACGTCTGTGTCCCTCCTGAGTCTTTGCAGTCTCCTCCACACTCCCCAGGCCATTCAGGTGGCAGAACCAGGACAATGGGGAGCAAAGAGAAAGGCGGATGGAGCTGGGCTGGGAACTGTGCTGTTGGGACAGGCTCCTCTGTGTAGGCAGTGTGGGGACCGCTCTGGCCAGCCTGAGCATTGCAGAAGTGAGTGGCAGGGAAGCCCCTGCTTGGGGAATGACACACTGGATAGATCAGGGAGTTGAAGAAAAGGAGAGTCTGAGGCACCCTCAAGGACATGGTTCCTAGCATTCTTGACTCCTTCGCCTGCCTCCTCTAGTTACGAACGGGTGTATTAACAAATGGAAAGGGGATAGCCTGGAAATTGCGATACTAATGACAAGAAGTAGAACATGTCTCTCTTCCACTAACGGTTTCTGCTTGGGGTTTCTTGTACGCAGTCTGACTTGGCTTTGAACTCAGCGGCGGCAGGCGCGGTTCACATTCCCGCCGCTGGGGGGTGGGGTGAGGAAGTGGCCGGAAGAGGATGCGCAGCAGGGTCGGTGCTGCGAGCAGCTGCGCGGGCTGGAAGGGGCTGGGTGCTAGAGCTGGAGACATCTCCTTTGGTACCCGGTTGCTCCGCGGTTGTCGGGTGGGGCTAGGAGGTTCGCATCCCCTAGGAGGTTCATCTCCTGGAGAGCAGTCTGTGATTCCCCTCTCAGCTCCGGAGAGACGGTTCCCGCAATCGGGTAGCTGGGGAATTGGGTTTAGCACTTGTCACTGAATAGAGACTCCTATTCAGTGTCCCGGGACTCTGAATCCTTGGCGGGCTTGCTCAAGACTACGTTTCCCAGAAGGCAGTGCGGGGATTGAAAGCTAGATCAGCCTATGGATGGGCAAGATTTCTTGTCTCGGAAGCTGAGAGCCAATGGCCAGAGGGCGTGGGCGGTGTTTTCTGGAGATGGCCTTGGAGCTCAGAATCCCACCTGGGTGTACGCAGTCCTGTCACGAATCCCGCTAGGATTCGGGTAGGGAGGGACAGGCTCGCGCGGTGGGCCGGGAGCCGCTCGGCGGTGGACTCTCCTTCCTGCTCCGTCCCCTCCTGGGCCCTGGGGCGGTGAGTGGGTGCGGGGAGGGAGACACCGGGGCGCCGCTGAGGAGCTGGAGGGGGCTCGCCTGCAGCCGCGACGCTGTCTCCGCCCGGTCCTCGCGCTCGCCCTGCGGAGCCCGCGGGTCTGCTGAGGAGTGGGCGGAGGTAGCTGCGGTTTTCTGTGCGGTCCTCGGCATAGGGATCCTCGTCTCCTTTCCCTTTCCCCGTGGTGGTGGTCCCCGGGGTCGCAGTGGAGCTCTGTGACCCTCTGACCTCCGCACCCCGATTAGGGCCTGCAGCGCCGCGAGGGCGTGGTGGAATGGGTGGCGGCCGATCGGGGCGGTCCTGTTCCTATTAATAAATCCAGTGACAAGCCGGTGCTTCTCACAATGGCACTTAGGCAAAACGCCAAGCGCTCTAGGGCCTTTGCGGCCTCCGGTCCAGGGGGCGCTGGAGAGAGCGTGGGAGACAGGGTTTCTGTGACTGTGTCGCTCGAAACTCGGTCCCCTCACCTGCTCTGTCTCCTGCAGGTGGGCCCTGCTGCTGTGCTTTGTAATGGATGGAGAAGTACAATTCATGCTCGAAGCTCAGCCCAGTGTTTACGTCTTATTGGGAGATGACATGTACTGCGACGGGTTTTAGGTCCTTAAAAACTCAGCCCTTTATAAGTGACCAGTAGTAGTGGCTGTAAGTGGATACATGTTTCCCTGAAAAGTGTTCGTGTGTGTGTGTGTGTGTGTGTGTGTTGTATAACTTCTAGGTGCTTCGACTGGGGAAGACGAAGGTGTGCAAGAGTCAAACTTTCTCACCCGCATCTGGTCCATCCCACGCTGGAACGGGAAAAATTCTGTGTCAGTCAGTGGCTGATTTGTGTTTGTTTCTGCTGGAAACTTTTTACAGGGAGGGTGAGGGGTCTATCTTCTGTTTCTTGGTGACTCCTGCTGCCTTACAATATATTAGTTAATGAATAAAGTACCGATCCATCCAGTAATCTGGCCGTCTCCTCTAAAAGAATTTTTTCTTGTTGCTGCTGTCAATTTTATTAAACCGATTTTAGTAGTAATGATTGTCTTCAGCCCCTAGGGTTTGTTTTGTGCTTATCCCCATTGAATTTTTTCTTTCTTTGTATTTTTTAAAAAGATTTTATTTATTTATTTTTTAGAGGGGAAGGGAAGGAGAGAGGGAGAGAAATATCAATGTATGGTTGCCTCTCATGCATCCCCTGCTGGGAACTGGCCTACAACCCAGGCATGTGCCCTGACTGGGAATCGAACTGCGGTTGTTTGGTTCGCAGGTGCATGCCCAATCCACTGAGCTACACCAGCCAGGGCCCTTTTTTGTATTTTTATTAGTTTCAGATGTACAGCATTGTGATTAGATAATTATATATTATCCCCATTGAAGTTTACTTAACTTTACAGCCTATCTATCTTTTTATCATTATTTTAAAAATTGATGTCTCCTTCCATCTCATTTTTTTCACACCATTACACTTTGAAATAGGGCCCTGGCCAAGGAACTCGGTTGGTTAGAGCATCTCCCCCCCACCCCCACCCCTTGACAAGGTTCCATCCCCTGTCAGGGCGCAGGCAAGAAGCAACCAACGAATAGGTAAATAAGGGGAACAAACTGATGTCTCTCTCTCTCAATCAATCAATCAATCAATTAAAAAACAATAATTAAAAAAAACACCTTCAAATAGAATGATGCCCAGGGCATTTCCCTTTGGGGTTTTGTTTAATCAGTCCCCTGAGTTTGACACCAAATCTACAAGCCTGGAAAAGTCAACTCTTCTCATCACTAATATGAGTGTGACTAGGTTCGCACTTGCTCGTCCCTCAGGAAAATGTCGTTGGAAAGAATGTAAAGCTTTCCAGAAATCCAGTTCTATCTGGACACCCTCTCCTTTGTTGACCACGGGCAATTTGTTCCTCAGAAAGTTAGTGTGTCCAAGGACAGGGTTCTGTTCAGGTGTTTGAGAGGCGGGAGACTCTCTGGTAACAGGAAAGTAGCCTGAGGGAAAGATTATGTAAAAAGAGAATAAGAAAAGCAAACCTTCTGTGGGTGACAGAATTTCAGTGAGAGCTACTAGAGTTGGGGGCGAGGGTGGGCTTTGTTTGAGCACATTGGTATCCTGGGCAGGTGTCTTTTGGTTTTTAACTGTGGGGTGGGGGGACATCCAGAGAGCTGCTGATGCATACTGAGGACTCTCACTTTAGCACCTGATGACCCTTGATGATGCGGCTGGTGATCCCAGGGAAGAGTGGACACTGCTTAGAGAATCCTCCTTGGGGGCACCGCCTGGCACAGTCAGAAGAATGGGCTCTCAAAGGGTAGGGACGCTGCTCTCCTTTAGATTTAAAACATGTATTTTAAGAAGGTGCAGGTCTCCATGGTCTCTAAGGAAGCTGGTCTTTCAGAGCTCCAGATCCCCGCAAGAATAACTGTCACCTCCCCGGCAGTAAAAGGAGGACTTTCTTTTTTATCGTTTGCAGATGTCTTTGATCTTTATTATCTTGTTAATATTTCACCATACCCTTTGGTGTATGTGTTATCTGTTACACAACTTTTTTTTTTCATTTTCTTAGAATTCCCAGAATTAGAAATGCTAGGTAAAAAAAAAATAGGTACATTTCTAGGGTACTTGATATTTTTGCCAAATGCCTCGTGAAAAGGTTGTATCAATTGATTTATTCCCACACCATTATATGAAAGTGTCCATTTCTCCAACTTCTACCACCACAGTGGATATTATAATGTAAGTCTGGATTAATTAATAATGATAGCTAACGTTTATTGAGGACTTACCACTTAACCCTCATAACTCTGTGAGATAGGTCTTATCATTAGCCCTATTTTATAGATAAAGACACAGGCACCGAGAGTTTAAGTAACTTTCCTGAGGTCACACAGCTCGTAAGAGGCAGGGCTAGGATTCAAACTCGGACAGTATGAGTCTTGAGTTTGCACTCTATGTCTATGCTATATTGCCTACATGTATCGTTCTAATTTTAATTTCTTTGGTTAATAATAAATGGGAGGTTTTCCATATATTTATAGGCCACTTTTGTGTGTGAATCGCCTATTCATGTCCTATGCCCATTTCTTTTTTCTGACAGTTGTCTATCTTTTTTCTCAGAGCTCAGCAATTTTCAACCTTTTCCATCTCACGGTACACACAAACTACTAAAATTCTGCAGCCCACCACAAAGTATATTTTTTGACGATCTGACAAGATATAGGTATAATTTTAACTCATTCACACCAAAAAGCTCTTGCTGTGTTGGCTGTTGTCATTTTTTTACTGGACATCTAAGGGAAAAGAGGTCAGTAGGTCAGCGACCCTGACTCAATAGTCAGGCATTGCAAATAAAAATTCTTGCAGCCCGCCCGTCGAAAACTGCTGTTACAGCCATGCCTATTGCTGCCCTTCTGGGAAAAGTTTGAAGTCCAATATGATAATTCGCTTCCTTAGGGTCGTGGAGACTTTGAGTCTGATAAAGTTATCTCGCCCGTGGTTTGAGCCTTGTGCCTTCAGAGATGAGTTACTGCACTTTCTCTAGAGTGTCAATGACAAATCAGGTGGGGTTGGGTTTTTTGGGGGGTTTTTTGTTTGTTTGTTTTTATAAGAGGGAAAGGGCTCTTTCTCAGCCTCTTGGGGAGGTCACCTCTTCTGTCAGTTTGTCATGGCTGCCCTTTTAATGAGACCAAACACACATAAGAGTGTCTCCTGGCATTCTCTTCTGTCTGGGGAAGGAGGAGGGCTTACATTTTGGCCGCACCTTGTATGAGTGCCTCTGACTGACGTCCCACGTTCGTCTTCCTCTGCAGGATTTTTAGGCCAAGTGTCATTTCCCAGCTGGAACGGAAAGAAGAGCCATGGGTGCTGCCACTCCAGGCTTTGGAGACAAGGCAGATCCTGAGGGAAGAAAGCCACCCAGGTGAGATGTGGGTGTCGCCCGGTGGGAGGAGAATTGGGGAGGCTGCCCTAGACTTTTGTTCTTCCTACCAGAAGTTTAAGTTTGAGTTCCTGGGCACTCAGTCATTGACCAACTAAAGTCTCTGTTTAAGTAAGCATTTTGCTCTTGTTTTGATCATAACATCTCTGAAAGGAGTTGCCCAATTTTGACGATATGTGGCTTACTGTTGAAGGGTGTGAAGTGCATGTCATGCTTTCTGTACGCTTAATGAACTTCAATAAACTTCACAAAGCGAAAACCAAAGCGGTCAAATTACATAGAAGTCTGCTGCAGCAAACACTAGTTTTCATCTCTCTTGCTGTTTTTTGATGTGTGTCCCTGATAATTTTATTCTCAGTCAACTTCTGCTCATTTCTCAGACTTTGAGAATCAGGTAGAAAAGCTCCATCAGGACATTTCTGAAACAGCAGAACAACGTGGAGCATCCTCAGAAAGGGCCAACAAAGATATTGCTCGTACTCCCAGCTGGGGAGGCACCTGGGAGAGGGGCCTTGAATTAGAAGAGTATGGCAGCCATCCAGGACAGAATCCGGGACGCACTGCAGGACACCCGGGACAGGGCCACCGGGAGCCCTTCTCACAGGACGGGGACCTAACCCAGCTCCTGGACGGGTATGTAGGAAAGAAGCCTGTGTGTGCAGAATGTGGGAGAAACTTTAACCCGAGTTCCCATCTCACGAGACACTGAAGAATCCATACTGACGAGAGGCCTTATAAATGCATCAAGTGCGGGAAAGGCTTCAGATAGAGTTCAGACCTTGTCACCCACGGCGGAACCCACACGGGATAGAGGCCCTACCAATGCAATGCCTGCAAGAAAAAATTCAGTGACAGCTCCATGCTCATCAAACACCAGAGAACCCACACCGGGGAGAGACCCTACGAGTGGCCCGAGTGTGGGAAGACTTTGGGCAGGAAGCTACACCTCCTAATGCACCAAAGAACCCACACAGGAGAGAAGCCCTACACGTGCCTTGAATGCCATAAACGCTTTAGCTGAAGCTCAGATTTCATTGCCCACCAGAGGACTCACACGGGAGTGAAGCCTTACAGGTGCAACGACTGTGGGGAGAGTTTTGGCTGAAGCTCGGATCTGGTAAAGCGCCGGCGGAGGCGCACAGGGGAAACGGCCCTTTCGGTGCCCGGAGTGCGGGAGGGGCTTCAGGGACGGTTCTCACTGCGTGGCTCACAGAGGTACTCACTCCGGAGAGAGACCTTTCAGTTGTCCTTCCTGTCACAAGAGTTTCAGTCAGAGCTCACACCTGGTCATGCACGCGACGACACACACGGGCGAGAGGCCTTTTAGGTGTGACGACTGTGGGGAAGGCCTTGCGGACAGCTCGGCCCTCCTTAAGCACCTGGGGACCCGCACAGGAGAAAGGCCCTGTCGTTGTGGCCAGTGTGGGAAGAGCTTCAGTCAGAGCTCCCACTTCACGACGCACCAGCGCACCCACGTGGGAGACAGACCCTATGGATGTCCCGAGTGTGGCAGAACCTTCCATCAGCGCTCGCACTTCCTGACGCTCCGCAGGATACACAGGAGAAAGACCTTTCCGCTGTAGTAAATGCGACAAGAGCTTCTGTCGGAAAGCACACCTTGTATTCCACCAAACACTCATCCCACGTAGGAAACACTCTCCGGGGGTCATCCTACTCCCTTCCGCGTTCCCATCGCTGCTGACTTCAAGCACCCCGTGCGGAGAAAACCCGAACCTGGGCCTCGGCGGTTGCCCGCGGGCCCTGACCCCATCCGTCTCTATGTTTTTCCCCAAGTTTCATGGGGAGGATAAAACCATAGGATCCAAAGAACGTTTTGAACACAAAAGGCATCCCTTCAGTGATTTTGATGGACTCTTAGACAGGGAAACAGGAGTTTAAGGGCTGATGCCTGGTCTCTGAAAGAGAAGCGAGATAAATGTGACCCAGAGATCTCGTGTGTGTCGCCTCGCACGGTGCCCGGCACAAAGTGGGTGCTCCGTAACCAACTGGTCAGATTATCGCTGTGATGATTTACATCTGCGATCTTATATAAAACCCTCACTATAGCGTCTGTTCCTTAAAAGACACTCCATACGGAGTTGGTTGCTTATATCAGACTTACTACTCACTAAGGAATTTATTAGTGCAGCCCTGCGCTAATTAGTGCAGCCCAGGACTTGCAACCAATTTGGTTGGCGTTAGAAGATTTGGAGTGTGAGCACTCGGATTCAGCAAAGCGGACAATACTCTCCTAAGCAAGTGCTATGCAGGCATTAGTCACCAGATGTCTCAGCGCCTTGACAACGCCAGATTACCACAGAGAACATTTGCAGTCTCGTGACTAAAGCTGAAACAATTTCAGAAGCCCTTAGACTACAGAGTCTTAGGCACTGCTCCTGGGGGCTTGCTGCCGTCTGAGGCCCAGGAAATATGCAGCGACGAGCAAGCAGGAGGGACCTGGAAGAGGACTGCAGTGACTCCTTGGAGACAAAACTCCCGAGACTGTTAAATAGCATTCCAGGGATGCTTCCCGGCATTCATTCAGCTGTAGGAAACGGCTCCTGTTTTCCAATTTGCTGGGTCGTTGCCTTTTTGTTTTAAGGTAGTGCAACGCTCTGAGGGTCATTCCTCTGACCCACTGGTCCATTCCTGCATTTAATTGAAATGTGTTGAGGGAGGGCAGCGTGTTGAAAAGGACACGAACGTCACGGAGCTGGTGAGCTGAGTCCTGGCCCTGACACTTAAACTTGGCCACACCTCCGCCTTCTCTCAGGGTCTAATTCCCACATGGGCACAAGCACCCAATACAGGCCCACAAGCACTTTCTTGTTAAACTATGAAGTTCAGTATTACAGTATTGTCACCAAAGTCTCCCACCACCCCCAAGGAGCTCTGGGTAATATTTCTCCAGATGTCTCGTTGTCTCTTATGACGAGGGACTTATTTTTTCACCCGTAGAAAACATAAGGCCTGAAAAGGCCACACGACTTGTTGCGGGTCACACGGTTCACCGCAGAGCCAGGTTCTGGCTGCAGGTCTGCTCGTGTATGAGGCACAGACCCCCTCTGGAATTTTTCATGGTCCCCGGAACAACTGCGAGACCGGAGGACCCATCCTTACAGCCTTGGAACCACCGTGAGTTCGGAAATGGTGGAGGCCAGTAGCCTGCATTCCCAGGAGCTTTCCAGGATCCTGGGCTGCGGGTCCTTGATCCTCCTGCAGTCGGAGGGGACAGGTAAGAGCAGATCCAAGGGGCAAAAGGGGATACGGAGGGCACTGGGCATTTGACACTCTGGGGAGAAAAGTGGTTGCTGGAAGGCGTTAACAGAGAGTCATTACATCAGCCTTGGAATCCGGTTAGTTCCCTTCCCTTAAGGAATGCCACCTGAGGGCTTTAACTCAGGGAGGAAGAATTCACTGATAAACTAAGCTCGCTCTTTGCCGGAATTAGATAGTTGACCAAGAAAAAATAAATTTGGTTAATCCAGTGCAGGGGTTCTCAAAATGTGAGTCCTAAGAAACAAACCCTCCCTTTATACACATTACAAATAAATGTCCAGAAAACTACAGCCCCAGGCTTCTATAATCTGCCAGACTTGGACCACCTCTCCGAATGCAGGATGCCTTGCTACATTAATAAGGCTCTTGTGTTATTAAAAATAAAAAATAAAAAATAAACGGCTTTGCAGAGAGAGAAAAAAAAACAAGGCTCTTGTGAATGGCTTTTCTTTTCCTCCCAGAAGACATATGTTCCCACAATTTTGATTACTTCTACAGGGTGTGGATATTTTCATAGCTCCTGTTACTTGCTGCTAAGTTGTCGTCTGAGCCAATTGTACTAATTTACGATGCCGCCAGCAGCAAAGGACCACAGGTTTTACCACACCCTCATTCTCAAAACCAAGTTTGCTAATTTAAGAGACCAGATCTTTAATTAAAAAAAATTTTTTTAAGTAAATCCCCAGCCATTTATTTATTTACTTACTTATTTATTTATTTTAAAAAGATTTTATTTCTTTATCTTTAGAGGGGAAGGGAAGGAGAGAAGGAGAGAAATATCAATGTGTGGTTGCCTCTCGTGCATCCCCTGCTGGGACCTGGCCTGCAACCTAGGCATGTGCTCTGACTGGGAATCAAACTGGCGACCCTTTGGTTCGCAGGCCAGTGCTCAGTCCACTGAGCTACACCAGCCAGGGCAAGTGCATCTTTAACTACCTAGTGCCAAATTCTTCTCCCAAATAGTGGTACTGATTTCCACTCTCGCAGTAGGTATTCCCTTAACTGTTCTTCCTTGTCAAGTTTTGATATTGTCAGACTTCAGAATTTTTCCAATCTGAGGGGTATGGAATGAATGACATTGCATTTTTAATACACATCTCTCTGCTGGTCAGGGAAGCTGAACAGCTTTTTGCAAGTTGGCTGGTTGTTCATTTGACCTCTTCATCCCTGAATGCTGTGTCCATAAAGCGCTCATTCTTCACGGTCCCTTGAAAACCCTCTCTCCACAGACTGTTTCCGGATCTCGGCCGTCCGGCAGGGGGGATCTCCTCTGCATCTCTGTAACCTTTTCTGCAGACGTCTTGGATTACCCTTTTCACCTCATCTTGTAAAGTCACTTGTGCACTATTCTACAGGGCAGGGACTATATTTAATTCAACTTCATGACCTTGTTAGTACCTAGTGCAAAGCCCACATTTCATAAACCTTTGTTGAGTCAAATTAGAACTCTCCCCTGCTTTTAAAGACTTACATAGTTTCCTATCAACTACAGAAGAGAATGGAACCTCTTTCATGTAGAATTTAAGACCCTCACGTGGTCATCAGCTTTCCTTTCCTGCTGCTTCTCCCAGTCTGACCCTGCCTTCTGCCCCAGATAGCAGGCTCTTTGTCCACAATGAGGGCCCAGTCTGCAGACGTCTGGCTTTTCTCCCTGCAGCCAGGACGGCAGGGCGATCCCACCTGTAGCAGCTGCCCATCAGATTCTGTAGGAGGCATTCCAGGAATCCTGAAGCCACAGCTTGTTTTTATTGCTAAGCATGGCTTCTGCTCTGAATCTGTCATTTGTGTACTAAACACAGGTTAGCTATGTTTCTGGTTACCCAATGTCGTCCTATGGACGTTTAAATACATGCCAGGAGGGCGCCCTGCCCAAGCAGGCTTGGCTCAGGACCCAGTCTTGTGAAGGAGTCTGGTTTTCCTTTGCCCACCTGCCTCTTTTCTATCTACTTTGATTTGGCTCAGGGTTCCTAACTGTGTCCTTACACTTGTCCTTTGTCTTTGGCCTTGAGTCCGCCTTGGTGTCTTGTGGCCTCTTCTAACCCCTGCCCTGAAACCAATTCCCCATCGCCGTTCTGGGCTGACTTCCTGTCTTCCTCCCACGGCTTGCAGGTCTTTGTTGTCAGTGGTCTTTAGACCAAGACATGGGCATTCGCATGTGTTTGGTGAAGGGCTTTCAGAGGCTCTTTGGCCTGTACAGAAAGGGAACGCGCGCCTTCCTGGTGATGGGCTAACGATAAACTGGGACAGGGTGTTGAATAGCGAGATGGCAGAGATGTCGGAGTCAGGAAAGCCTAGACCCGATTCCTCACTCTGCACCTTACGACTTGAGCAAAACGCCAAACCTCCCTGTGCCTGTTTTCTCATTTACAAAATGGGGATGATTCTATCTTCTTCATACGGTTTACTGTGAGGATTAAATGAGACGATAGAGAGTATTTAGCACATTCTGGAACGTGGTAAGCAGTTGGCACATGACTGCAATTAGGAAGAGGTAGTTAGAAACTTTTGCTCCTTTCAGAAAAATGATGAGGTTGAAGAGGCGTCTGCAGTCAAACCACCGGGCAGGAACGGTGCCCATCCACCGGATCCAGCACAGTCTAAAGTACAAGACACAAGAGGTTTTCTTCTCATGAGGAAATAAAGGAGCGTTACAGGGTGGCAGGTAACACTTAAAGTTCATTAAAGATGAAGACCGGCTCTTACCAGAGACCCACTGGCTGGCATTTAGTAATGGGCTATATGTCGTCCCCTTTGTTCTGTGTCTAGCCTGAGTTGAATAACCAAGGAACAGACAGAAATGAGATTGGAGATTTCACAGAGCAAAATGGAGGACTCATGTTATTATGGACTCCATCTGCTCGGAGGACTCACTGACTGTGTGGAGTCGGTCCTGTCTGAGGGGAGCAGGGTGCCCAGCCAGTCACAGTTCTTTCTCATGCAAAAATGTTATCAGTAGTGTATGTGACAACAGTTAACCTGTGAACCCTCTCACCCTGCCCCGCCATATACTCAAATATCTTTGGACACGTGTATTAGTTTTCTACTGCAGACTGGCCAAGCTTAACTGTGCTTTTTGCTCTAGTCTTACAAGGGGAAACTCAGCATGGCTGCCGGGCTGGGCTCGTTTATCTTGAGGGTCTGGGGAAGATGCTGCTTCCGAGCTCAGTTAGGTGATTGAGAGAATCAAGTTCCTCGCTGTCATAGATTGAGGTCCCTGTTTCTTTGCTGGCTGTAATCCAGGGGTCACTCTCAGCTCCTCAAGGTCCTGCCCTCTCCATCTTTAAAATGGGCAATGGCCCACTGAATCCTTCTAGTGTTTTGAGTCTCTTTTATTCACACTTCTGATACCAGCTAGAGAAAACTCTCTGCTTTTAGAGATTTTACTTATTTTTAGAGATAAGAGTAAGGGAGGGAAAGAAACATCAGTTGATTGCCTCTCGCACATCCTCAACCAAGGACCTGGCCGACAACCCAGGCATGTGCTCTGACTGGGAATTGAACTATGGAACTTCCGGTTTATGGAACGATGTGCAACCCACTGAGCCACACCAGCCAGGGCAAAAACTCTCTGCTTTTAAAGGGGTTACGTGACCATCCAGATAATCTCACTATCTTAAGGTCAACTGATTAGTAACCTTAATTACATTGTCAAGAACCCTTCAAAACACTACGTAGAATTAGTGTTTGAATAACCAAGGGTTGGGGATCTTGGGTAGCCACCTTCGTATTATGCCTATGACACACACCGTAGCTCCAGTCCCCTGAAAAGTGATCCCTCGGGGTCCTTGACACTTGACCTTCCTGGGTGTTGAGAAGCTGCCTGGTATGTGTCCCATTTCTTTCCTGATCAGAAGCCTCAGATTTCCCAGCTTCCTTAACAAGATGCTGGGATCCAAAGGTCTATTTTTTTCTCATTCAAGACAAGAGACCAAATCAGTCAACAGTGCTAGTGATTGTCCTGGGGAATCCTCCCTTCTGAGAAATTTCTATGTAAAATATATATATATAAAGCAAATCTGAAACATCCAACAGGAAGGCTATTACATTTGTTAACGATTCACAGAGTTTATTAATCCGGTTTTCTGACTTTGAGGCATTAATGATGTAATTGAGTTAAAGTCACACATCGGCAGGCCGTAACAGTGATGTTATTTTTCCATTGGCTTTTCTGTCTACCTGGTATCTGGCTAGTTTTCTTTCATGCTGATTAGAAGACCTATTCCGATTTCAGAAGTGTTACCATGTGAAAAAAAATCTGGGACTTATTTTTGAAGACATAGGGTTTTTAAAGTGCTCCTGGGAAGTAAATGAGGAAGTGATTCATTCAGCCTGGCGAAGAAGGTGACATTAGAGTTGGGTCTAGCAAGTTGAGTAGGAATTTCCCAGGCAGTTAAGAGGCTAAAAGGTATTCCGGGCCCAGAGAAACCTGTACTACGGTGCTTACCTGAAGCTGTCCTGTTCATGTCAATCCATTCCTGGGAGTCTTACAAATTCTGGAGGTCATGGATCAATTCTATCTCCCAAAATGACCAGTTAGCTCATTCCTGCCATTTAATTTTATTTATTCACCTCGTATTGGCTAACTTTATACTTGCTGACAAATAGTATTTCAAGTAGCTCATGGTAG